AAGAGTCGTTGACGGGTTTTTCATTGACGTAGTACCTACAGACCGCTCTCCGATGAAAGCAGCACGTTGGCATGAAGTTGACATCCAGCAGAGCACACATCAGTTTCGTTGATCGCGTTGTGGTCTAGAAACTCAAAGAGTTACTACGGGTATTTGGTTTTTTAGTACCTACAGACCGCTCTCCGATGAAAGCAGCACGTTGGCATTACCGACGCGGGGGGGAGTGTTTTTTTTTTGCGGCGCCCCCTCCGGCCCCCTGCGGGCTCTGCGCTCTGCTCTGTTGGCGCTAAAGCTCTGATTGTCGTTGTTGGCATGTCAGCGTGCGGGTGGGGCATCATGCGGTGTATATGTATTTGTTTAGTTGCAGCCCTCACTCATGAGGGGGGTACCAGACCTTGTAGCGATAGCAAGACGTTGCCGTTGAATACATTTCGCTTCAAGGGAGTGGTCCTACGTGCAGCCGTCGGTGGTGAGAATCGGGGTTGAGTACGTGCAGGCGAGGAAAGCAGATTAATAAGAATTTGCCAATTTAAGAAATTCAGCAGGATGTGGCTGCACGAAAAAATAAGAAACATGATATAAGAAACTAAACGACATACGCTTGAGTTTCTAGCCCACAATAAGAATTCAAGGCTGGACCTGAAATGAGCGTTTCTTAATTGCGGGCGCTAATTGTAGTCGCCCTGGAAGCGACACTTACTTACCCTCTTTGTAAAAGCGCGCCAAAATTGAACCTTCTGCAGTGTTCAGTCTATCTAGCCTTCAGCTTCATCATCATCGGGGTGACCATTGCAGCACGCAAAAAATAGAACAAGACGGTGCATCGGAGAGAGTGGTACTGCTATAATACGAGCTTCAGGAGATGCGGAGAGGGTATATGCGGCCCCACATGCGTGATTGCTAGAGAAAGCGCCGCATCTGCCTCTGTCCCGACCCCCTGCTGACAGCACTCACCCGACTCACTGACGAGCACCTTCATACAGATAGGGCCCGGAGATAAGAGACGTCAAAATGGAGTCGAGCCTCAATTTCTTGTTCTGGGCAGAAGGACCAGCCGAAGTTGACCAATTTCTTAAAAAGGACTTCTGATTATCCCTTTGGGCTGTCGCATCCTGCTGATTCTCTTATTTCTTTTTTTTCTTATTTTCTTATTTCTGATGGCGAAGAAAACAACAACACACCAAGCCTTCATGCAGCATCAAACCGACAGCAGCTCGGTGTGGCGAACATTTGGGGTTGTGGCAGTACAACAGTACAGCAGCAGTGGGTAGCGCAGCCCACGGCGGCGGTGGAGCGCGGGGGGCGCAGCGAAAGTAACCATGCTCTCCCCCCACCGAAAATTGCATGACATGAGCTAGGTAGGGGGTGGGAGCATGGCAGCAGCAGGAGGAGCGGCAGTGGGACGTTTCTTTAGACACGCTCCCCCAGCTTCCACCCCTTGTTTCATTTTCTTGGGGTATCGCACGATCATTTTTCTTATTGGGACGTTTGTTATGTTTTGGCCAAGGTTGAGCTGTGTTTCTTCGTACTATTTTCTTAGTTTCCCTTATTATTTGAGCCTTTTTATCTTAACAAAATGCACTTACCAGCACACGGAACTCGTTTTCGCCCATCTTATCGCGCATGGTGCCCTCGTTGATATATCGACTGGAGGGATTGAGGAACGGTGAGCAACGAACAGCGAACAGTGACAAAGGAAGAGCGAGCACCAGCAGTGGAGTGTATGACGAAGTACGGGTTCATGTCTGCCACTCCGCCCAGCTAGCATGCTGCCGTAACAGCAACAACCAAGCAATGACGATCAATCAGAATCAATCATCAGGAAGGAGCAGCACCAGCTGCGACGCGGGGCATTTAGTTGCTCACATCCTAAACCGCGTCTGAGCAGCCCGCATTTGGAGCAATTAGTGAGCGTCGACGACAACTGACAACCAGGCCCAGATTACAACATGGCAACCCGTGGTTGGCTTCACCAGTGCACCAACAACACACAACAACATAGCCCCAAGGTCGCCGTGCGATTTCCAGCACTGGGCTTGATCTACGTAGTCTAATGGTTTAGCCTTTAGCGAACAAAGGACATACTGGACTGTATCGGAGGGCTCTTGGCCTCCCAGCAGCGACAGCAGTGATCTCCGGGGACGGACCCCTCGCCATGCTGAAGGTGTGCCTGTGTAAATGGTAAATGGTGCCTTTCAGTCAGTCACTGACTGAGCGATCTAGAATGGTTTAGCCTTTATCGAATAAATCAGCATGCTGCTGCCGGTACGCCGGTACACCCGGTAGATACCCTGGTGCACATGTAGACGATACCCTGGTGCACATGTGCGCCAGGTTGGCACGCACAACTTGGTTAGTTACAGCAGTTTTCGAATTCCCAATCTGGAATCAGGAGAGGAGGCAGTCTAGTCTGGATTCTGGTCTGGAGTCCGGAGTCCGGATTCCGGAGTCCGGAGGCTGGAGCCAGGAGCTGGAGGGAGCACTGGAGCGCACTGATTTGTTGAAACTCACAGTCTCGCACGAGGCCAACGGTCCCGCCGGGTTTCCACACTCGACTCACGCCTTTCGGCGTTACGGCAAGCAAAGCCGAGCACTGAGCAACAAGGGAGCTCACCAGATAGAACGCCCCCCCCACGCCATTCTTATAATACTCTCTCTGTGCCTTGTTCTGCTGCTGGTGGCAATAGCGGCAACCAGGTTTTGGAAGCGGGAAGACAACCATGCCAAGTGCGCGAGATCAGGAGGTGAGTTCCAAGATGAGGCAGATCCCGCTGTTCCGCCGTGTGAGACTCTCTCATATGGAACATCGTCCTGGTATTGTTTTTTGCAAAGGGGAATTCATCAGGCGTACATGAGCCGGTTCTCCGGTGGTCTAGGTAGTAACCCCGTGAGTTGTCTAAAGTGGCTAGGTCGGGGGCTCAGATCCCGCCGGCGAGAGGGTGTAGTTGATTGGTAGCTGGTACGAAGTCTTTTTAGAGCGCTTCTTCGTGAGCGGTACAGGTAGTATGACCGTCACAGCAGCTGTTTGTACCAGTATAAAGGCATTACCGCAGATACATCCTCCAGCTGGTGATCCCGGATCGGAGCTCTTCGGTGAGAGAGGCAAGGTCGTGGGGAAGGTATATTGGCGCTTCGAGTGGCGGTGAATGGATGGGATGACACAGTTGTTCTCTCTCCCGCTCTTCCCCTGTCTTGCTCACATGCCGGGGATGGCTCGTACATTCCGAGGTGTTGTGTACCCTGCTTAACTGGACGCTGCGAGTGGCTCTTTACTACATACAATAGTTCTTCGAAGCAAGGCATTATACGCAGTACGCAGTACGCATGGATTTGGGTCATGTACAGACACAACCAATTTTTTGTGTCTATCTCGTCTACTCCTGGCGTGTAACTGGTGCTCGCGTGATGGAGGTGGGGCCAGGTATTTGCGAGTACACCGCTGTACAGCAGCAGGTCGCTGCTATCGAGCCGTCGTGTTCTACTTGTCGATACATCAAGCGAGTCGCCTTTTGACAGCTGGCTGAAACCAACCGCTTTTCTAGATGCTATTCACAGCAGAGGCTGCTGGAATTGTGGTGGGTTCGGGTTTCCTGGTCTAAGGCGCGTGAGGAACTGTGAGGCACACCCGCGTCAGCTTGGTTGTGCGTATATGTTTGTTTTCGTCAACCCGGAGAAGGCCGTGTTGCATGGTAAAGTGTGTTTTGAAATACTCTGGTTGGCCAACACCGTGTAGTCATTATTTTCACGAACCCCTGCCGAATGCACGACGACCCCGCGCGAGGCATCTTAAGGCCCCTTGGCCCTCGGATCGGCCCTCGGGTAAGGGTTCGAGTTCGGGGTAGGCATTGGTATTGGTTGGGCCTGGGTGGCCAATTCAGACAAATTTCGTCTGCAAGTATTGTAAAGGGCTCGTTTAGCAACGCGGTGTTGCATTCGTGCACAGAGGCTCCCGTTTGTGGTTGGGCTTAACAGTTGATGAGGAGCTCCCAGCGTCATCTTTACCTCAAGAAAGCCACTCAACCTTAACGGCTTTTCCCTGTAGTTATTTGTTCCCTTGTAGTTAAGATCCACAGGTCTGCCTGCCTATATTGACACCCCAGACCTCCTCTGTATGATCACATACACGAGCAATACTTGACGTCCTCGTTCGAATCAGAACTCGGCGCTCAAGTTCCGATCTGTTTTCGGTAGAAAAGGGCTTCTTCTTCGTCAGGAGCCTACGTCCCATAAATTTTAACTTTTGGGGGGCAGTAAACGCGGGATGATTACCTCGCTACCACGATTGAAGTCATCGCCGGTGCGATTGTCCTGTTGCGGGTCCAAAATTCGTGCGAAGCTTCTGTGGTAAGCGTGCCTAAGTAGTTCCGTTGTGACCGAGTCTTGAGAAATTCGGGAAGTGTTTCAACCCCCAACGTTTGTTTTTGGTGCCGAGAATTGCAACGAGAGGTTTGAAGAAACAGAACTTCGGTTGTGGTGACACGGGGCAAAGCAAAAGATCGGAACATAAACAATGTACGGACGCAAAGAATGAAATTTTAGAGTCTTCCTGCTGGTGCACAGGCAGCATTAGTCTTTGGTCAGTTGCACCAGCGGTGGCAACGCTGGTGCTGTCAAGAGGCAGTATGTGTGGAAAAAATCGTTTGTCGAAGACGTGGAAAGCCTTCGATTCTCGAGACACTGTTGACCCACATATAGCGGCCAGAAGAGGTAGACAAACAGGCCACGACTTCGTATGTATATGTCGCACGGATCCGGCGGATGCACCGGAAACGTTGCCAAACGGGCAGCCATGTACGGAAAATCTCAAGCCCATAACATGAAGTGGACCGGTTGCCAAACGAACAACGGGTACTTCGACAATGGTCCGACATGGAACATCCCGACCGTACCGTAAATACTTCATCTCCGAGAATAATTTTTCATTTCTAGAGCCCAAACAGTGCTTGGAGCTCTCTGATAGACTGATTTCCACAATCCAGAGAAAAGGCACGAAACAATGGGCGGTGCTTGATTAAGGCTTTTCTTGTGGGAATGCTCGAGGAGTGGCATCAGGTAGAGAACAGATGGAGTTTTCCAGGGATGCATTGACATTTGCTTGAGGATCGTACAGAAAACTTCTTGGGCCAGATGGTTTTGCTTTTTGGTGTTTTGTTCATGGAATGACGTGATGACCAATTGTGTGGATTGATCCGTCCTACTTGCTGTAGCGTGAAGAACTAAAACCGGGAAGGATCCAAATCTGCCCAAACGTAGGCTAGACTATGTAGGATGCTTCGTGTCTGTTGGCCCTTGTTCTTTGGCTGTGACCAAGATCCGCCAACTATCTGCAAAATTTCAGGTGACTCTATTTGCATACGAATTTCGCTTCCGTTCACTTCCCCCCTCCCAAACAATGCCCGTGCACCTGACGCTCACCCCGCCGTTGTTTCCAAATGTGGTAATCCAGGTACTCTCCCTGTTAGCGGAATGGTTCGACCCTCTCCCTCAGCTGACCAAGCAGGTAGGTTGCTGCTAAGTGGACACTCCGTTCAGGATAGCTGATGTTGATGTTGATGTTGTTGTTGCTATTGCTGTTGTCGGTGGTGGTGGTGGTGTTGTCGTTGTTGTCTTCGCACACCAAACCATGCCGATATTTCTCACTGTCGCCAAGCATCCGTCCCGGTCCATCTGACACGGACACCTTCACAAGCTATCTACTCAAACGGAGCACTGGAATAAATTTGATGAACAATCAGAGATATATGGAAGGAGCCAGAAAAATCAACACAACACGATAAGAGAAAAAAGCACAGACAAACGTGCCCCAAACAGTCAGAACTCGCAGAACGTGACGTGGTGGACCAAGGATAATGGTAGAGGCGATCAAAACACACACCGTTCCTGCTCGACACGCGACGCCACGAAAAATGAAAGGCAACAAGAGCAGTCGAATGCCACCAATCAAGATGACACTATCCCATTGTTCTGTCCTCGTCCTAGGGTGTATTCACCGCTCTTGCTTACAGATGTGTGGGGAGGTCACGATCATGGCACAAGTGATACATACCTGTAGGCCCCATCCGACACGAACAAAATATGCAATACCTGGTACACTGTATCCCCCACATCCTTGCAATGCGGAGGATCCCGTGCCAGGCTCTCGCCCTCCGATTCACGCTGGCACGTGAAAAGGCATCCAGTCGCGCGCCGAATTGCGCGATAAATGTTCCCTTCGTCGGACAACTTGATTCACCTAGTGCGGGTGAAAGAACATGAGCGAAAAATATGCCAACAGCATGATCTGGGCGGGGCGGGGGGTTAACCTGGCCTTGTCGGCAAAGCTAATCAACGTGGGGTTTGAAAACTAGGTGGTCGTCACGGTGGTCTTGGGCTCAGAGGGGGGCGGGAAGCACACCTCATCAACACCATAATCACTGTGTGTGTGTTGCTGCTCACTGTAGATTTTGCGCCGCACGTGCTGATTTCTCAGTACCTGCTCAGGTACTACTGCGACACCAACGAGGCCGAGATGGTGGAGCTCAAGACAAAGAGGCTCTTCCTCAAGCGCAGCCCTTGCCCGTCACATTTTTCCTCCAAGGACTTCGCCCTTGGCTCCAAGGTGGGCTCTCGACCTGCGCTTAGCATGCGTGTGGCTCCGTGGGGATTTGATTATGTACTTCCGGGGGGAGGGGGGCGTGGATCGCGAAACTTCAATGGTTGTGTGAGGTACCACGCCTCGGACGGGGTGCCACGGTGTCATCTCGTACACCGTTCCCAGGGCTCTTGTCTGGGGTTTTCTTGCGTTTCGCAGCCCACGGTACGGTACACGGGCTGGAGCGCAGATGCAAGGTCATTTTTTTTTTCTCCATCCAGTGGAAAGGGGTCCCGTCGTTGTCGTTCGATTCAATAATTCAGCGTTCATTCTGGGGCGACATGGAGTGTGCGGGGGTGTGTTGTTTATTGGATGGGACCTTCACATGCGTGAGGCTCGGCCGGTTCAATAGGTCTCTTCGCTTCGCCCGTGCCCTCAAGGCTTGGACCCAAGCTGCGCACTTTTATGTATTTACGCGACCTGGCTCCCCGTACGAACCCGAACAGGGAACGTTTGGCCTTCTGATGCAGTATGGTGTTAGCGACGAATCCCCTCCAGAATGCTTGACCGTAGCTTTGCTGGGAGGGGAGATGGTGAGGGTACAGGGCGTGCGTGCAGAACGATGATACGCGCGGCTGAATGGCCTGCTGCCGTGCAAGCGGCACGTTGCCTGGCGCTCGATTTTGGCGTGAGTGTCATCCTATTGTCGTTGTCGATTGCCATTTAGTCTTTGTGTTAACTTCGGTCCCGACCCCCACTTCCCACTCTGCAAGGCAAAGCAGAAGGAAATGCCGCGATCACGATTTGTAAACCAGAAATTGAAAGGCGCTCACACTATGGGCTGTTTGTTCCTGGTGTTGCGCTTTGGCATTGGACCACGTGTGGTCGATTGTGGTACGCCAAGCACACCGAGCGGTGGGCGGAAGGAGGGCGATTTCGTAGGCGCTGTCTCACGATTTGCCTCTCTGTGGGGTTGGTTTGGTCCAGCAACGCGGAAGCGTGTCGTTCGGTTAGAAAGGGTTCCACGTTAGCATCCGATGATTCCCGTTTCCTTTTTCACCTTCAACAAGCGAAAGGAGGATACCCGTTGGTGTTTGCGGGCGTCTGGTTCCTTCTGTCTTCTTCTTGGCTAATAAATTCATGTTTTGCTGTTGATATTCCTTCTTGATATTGATTTGTGCTACTCCTTGTTCCTCTCTCTCTCTAACCCCCCTGACTCCACCCACTTATTTTCTGTCCCTCCCTCTTTTTTTTTCGACGATCTTACCGAAAGATAATCTTGTATGGTCGAGACCTGACCATCGCAGCCTTTGCGGATAAGCCCACGGAGAACATCCTCACACCAGAGACGGTATGTTCCTCCACCTTCTTGGCGTGTAAGTCGTTCGTTCAGCGCCAGCTGGTTCACGGCAGAACGTCGACCACCCCAGCTCTCCATGTGATCGGCTTTGTGTCTTTGTTACGTGGACGGCGAAAGAGCTACAGTACCCCCCCACACACGCCGTAGGTTGCGGCCTCCGCTACGTGTGTCCCAACGGCCCCCCGCCCTTCTCTTTCGCCAACCCATTCGCGGGCGAATACTCCACCTTTGCTCCCCCTCCGTCGTGGTTCCTCGCCTCTGCCCTACTTGATCGTTTTCTGCTTCAGGAGAGTGCGGTTTTCCTCGTTGGACCCGAGGGCTTTCTAGCCGTTGGAAAGATACTGGACGAGCTTGTCGCCTGCACTCATGGTCTGCTGGCGAAGCTCAAGATGGTGACAAGTGTCTAGTCGTCGCTGTCGTCGTCGTTGATACTGTTCTATTCCTTTTTGTTGTTGTTGTGGTCAGTCGTGGCGTTCTCTTCTGGAACTGCTGCTGCTCGCGTGCTTCTTCAGTCTCTTGCCGGTGCCGCTACTCTTTCGACGAGGTTCATTCTCATCGCTTACCGCTGATCTCTTGTGACGATCCACGCTGCTTGGTTCCTCGTCGCATGGCATACCACACAACACGCGGCTGATCCCGGTGACGGATAACGGTTTTTGACGTCGCCGATGGCCGTCGCAGGCCCGGCTGGAACCCGCCTCCGCCCTAGAGGCGGCGAGGTGCGTCGGCCTACAGGGGGCCGCCGCCCGAGATGCCGCGGCGGGGCTCTGCCGATCGCGCGGCGGAGGTGTTGTGCTGGGCGTCGTTCGGGGCCACAACGCGCGTGACTTAGCCGCGAAGGTGAGAAAAGGGCATGCTGCTATGATGGCCTAACGTCCACACCGTTTAGTTTTCGCTTGCCCGTCCTCCTCCCCACCGCCACTGCTCCTCTTTCTTCTTGTGGTGTAGGCCATCGTTGCACACGAATGGGGCGTTATTTTGGTGCTCTGCGTTTTACGTTGCTGTGGATTGTTGTGCGATTTTTCGGCATAGTGCGGCGTGTTGTGGGGACCGACGTGCGGTTTGACGTCAACCTGGCCACGCCCTTGCACACCACGTGCCCCACGCCCCCATATGTGCTGTTCCCTCCCCCTCCCCTTTACGTATGCCGTACCGAAAGGTATGCGCGAGATTCGCTCCGCAGTCCGACGGCGTGTGGTGCTGCGGATCGGAGCAACAGGGCGCCAATCTGGAGAGTCTCTTCGCACCTGGTGGGGCGGTTTCAAGAGGGTGAGTAACCCAACCCCGCCCCTCCCCAAAGACGTACACCATCTCCCCAGGGACGAACCAAGCGCAAGCGAGAAGAAAAACGACTGTTGGTTCTTCGCTGCTTGTATGCATTGGCCCGATTCGTCGTTAACTACGTCGGGGGGGGGGCGAGGGGGGGGGGGGGCTGCGTCAAAGCTCGAGCGATTGCTAAAACAACGAAACGGGAAACTGACGCCGCCAGCGGGGGAACGTTGTAGCACTGTTTGAGCATCAGCTGAGAACATCCACGTTCTTCGCCGTAACCTACAAGGGACTGCTGTTGGCGGGTGATCTTCCCGTCGTAGTATGGATCAGATTCCTGGTAGGATATCTTTCCGCCGTTGTTGCAGTTGTGGAGGTTGTTGTTATTGCTGTCGTCGCCTTGTATTGTGCATGCGTGCCTGGTTGTGCGTTGTTGTTGTTCTTCCTCCTTGTCTTCTCCCATGCTCACGCTTGTTCCTTTGCTTGGCGTGATTTGTCGACGTGCACGCGCGCGCCACGAACGCCGCGGGTGCGGGGGTTTGCGACGTGAAACGGCATTCGGTCCGTGTGGTCCGGCGTCGCCCTTGCTTCTGCCAGGAAAGGAGGGGGCGCCACGGCTACGTTCGACAGCTGCACCTGCTGCGTGATCAAACCGCACGCGGTGAAGGCGGGCAACGCGGGCAAGATCATCGACAAGATTCTGAATCAGGTTCGCGGTGATTCGGTTCTTCGTGACGCCGTGGACACACACCTCTCTTCCCTACGCATACCCACGTTGTCCCCGGGTCTCCCCTTCTATTGACCCGAGCAGCTTAAGTACCCTCCCGCGATGCTCCAAGCACCAACGTGGAGTAGCGCTGTTGTTGGCCCCTTTTGTTTTTTGCGTTGCCGTTTTTATCTCTGTACCGCTGTACCGTCACAAACCACATGAGCCCGATTTACCCTTTCCTGGGCAACGTTTTGACGCACCGAACGATCAGGGGTTCGAAATTTCCGCGATGGAATCCTTCCGGCTCACCCGGACACAAGCGCAGGAGTTTTTCGAGGTCTACCAGGTACGGTCGGGCCTTAGTCAGGTCTTAGCTGCGGCAACAACCACGAAGGTTGTAGCGACGGGAAAAGGTTGAGCCTGGTTAAAGGCGGAGGCAAGAGGAGATTGTTTCGAGACGTTTCATGTGGCGGTCTTTTTGAGGACGAGGGAGTTGGTACGGCGACGCTAGCAAAGGGTCAGGTCTAGCTTTAGGGGTATTTTCTTTCTTGGTGTGGGCTGACCCGAATGCCACCTCCCAGCGGCAGCCTGCCTCGTCAAACCTGGAGGGAGGGGCGCCCATCTTGACGTCGATTGAATTCTAGGTGCGAACGGTTAGAGTATGTGCATGATGTCAAACACACCTCTCACGGCATCGATATTTCCTTACGGTAGTATTCTTTGGGGCCACGCTACATGCATGCCATGGTCGTTCGTAACTCCACCCCGTGCACATGTCAATCTATGTGCTTCTTTTCCCCCCGCGTCGTTTGGGTTGGTGCGCTTGTTTTCGTGATGGTGACGTTCGATGGAATGAATCGAAACAACAAGGGAGTGATCCCCAAGTACACCGAGGTGCTGGACGAAATGACGACCGGAACCTGCGTGGCCTTAGAGGTGAGCAGGAAGAGCAGCACCAGCCCCCGATTTCGCGGCATACCCCCCCACGACGCGCACGATCGGCGACACGTCTCGCGCATCACGATCACATTCGAATCCCGGTAAAGCTTTCGCTCGTTATCCCACCGCATCACGATGACCGCGTTTTCGCCTACATTTCTCCCCACGACAGCTTCATGCCGTGATCATGAGGCCCCTCGTGGCAACGCACAACCACCGCGGCCCAAACCTGCCTGCTTGCCCGAACACCGTGAATGTTCGGCGTCTTGCCATGGGCATGTCGAACAAATTTCCTGCACAATTCCTTTTGTAGTGCCCCTTCGTCCCGAGAGAGGGAGAGCTACGTATTTTCCCCCGAGCTATTCTTGGGGTCACTCGCTTCGCTTGTTTCCTCAGGTCACCTCGTTGTGGTTATTTTTGTGGGACCGACAAGCAGGCCCTCTCTCCGGCTCCTGTATCCAAAACCACTGATTTTGGCTTCTCGCCGCCGCCACCAACTAGCGAGTGCCCCGTGATGATGGTTATTGAATGCTGTTGGCATCGCTCCTCTCTTGTGCTGCGAAAAACGTTTTGGCGGCGACGAGATAGATTCGGGGGCAGAACGTGGTGGGTGCCTTCCGCGAGGCCGCCGGCCCGTGGGACGTGGAGATGGCCAAGGAGCTGAGGCCGAACTCCATCCGCGGGATGTTCGGGGAGGGGGCTAAGGACTCCTCCGGTGGGGGAGCACGAACCGGGGTGCACTGCACCGACCTAACCGAGGACGGGCCTTCGGAATGCCGCTACTTTTTCGAGCTGATGCAGCAGGGTGGTGGTAGTGCTCCTTGATTCAATTGTCCAAGAAGTTTTGTGAAACTATTTTGCGGAAAGCGACCGAAAGCAAACCCTTGTGTTTGTTGGGGGCATATAGTTGGTCGCCTCTTGCTTTGCTTCGCTGGATCGCAACAGTAGCGAGAAAAGCCAAGTCCACTTGACAGAGAGGTAGTGTTGCGGTTTCCATGATTCACTGCACGCGCTCGTGGTTTGAAGAAGAGACGCCCAAAATCACTGTCATCAACTTCGATGCGGTCGCCGAACCGTGCTAAGGTCACGTGCGTCCTCCTTTCTCCGTTGACTATTTTTTCTTCTTTATTTTCGGTTACAGTCAACCGCGGTGTGGCCTATACCGACCGTGGCTATTCGTACTGAGGTTGACCACTACAGCTACCTGCTCCCATTAGTTTACGCCATACCTTCACCTAGCCAATCATTTATCCCAGAACCCGTCCGTGCGGGGAATGTCAGAGAAACAGCGCGACAGCCGCGGTTCATTGTTGGTTGCACGCACACACCCCTTCGTTCCCATGTACATGGCGTATGCCATGTGCCTATTGCTTGCTTTGGTGGAGGTACTCTTCGTCGGGGGTGGCGAACGTCTCCTGACGGAGCGACGCGACACACGACTCGTTCTCGTTCTCGTTCCCCGCACCCGACATCACTCCCGGGTCCTGTCTAGCAGAGGCTTTTGGCACTTCTTGCCCAGTACCGACAGACATGGACAGACCCTAACCGAAAATTTGAAGATGTAGACTACACTATGCATGACTATCCTATGCGCCGCACTCCTTTCACCAACGCCTCGGCCATCCCCTTTCTGTGAAACCCCTTAATCGTATTCGGTATTTACGTAGAACCGGACCCATGAATACTTGGAGTAGACATGCCTTGACTATGGCTAGAACTGGGAGATTGGTACCCACGGAGCTTGTCTATCGTGTTCGGCACAACAAACCGAAAACCGAAACCTTGTGTTTACGAATGAACGTCGCAGGACTGCAGATTGCAACCCGACCTTGCCTGCGGCTGTGCCTTCGATGCGAGCACCGCGCATGTACATGGTAGGAGTATGATCTTTACACACCCCGATTCAGCATTTTCCGCAATGCAGTACGCATATATGCATGAGATGCTGTAGCCTCAACCTACCCAGCAGAACGTCGGAGGCCTCAACGCGCAGCAGAAGACAAAAAAACAACGGCGCCATCAGACATGCTACGACGAGTAACAACGATATGCCATGTAGTTTGGCCGCATGCGGCAACGAGAAACCGCCGCCAAACCGATCTCCCATTCACCTATCACCAACTCAAGGGCTGGAGCACACATCCCATGCACGGTGTTGTTGCCGAGACCTGCCCGTCCTGTGTTGCCCTATACTTCTTTCGCTCTGTTACCCTGGTTCATGTGGACAATCCCATGCGTCTCTGCCCCACCAGTGGTTGTATCACTCGACGGAAACCTTCAGTTCGATTTAGTACGCCGCTCCCATCGCCACCTGGGCCCGCGCATGCTCGGGGTCGACGTCCTCGCAGAAGACAGCGTACTGCACTCTAGCCCCTGGACTCCGCTCATGCACAGTATACCTGATGGATTTGGCGTTCGTTCTTTTTTATTGGTGGTTGCGGCGGTGGATGAGCGACGTGTTGTTGTTGCGTTTCTTGTTGTTGACATTGTTTTCGATGTGCGTCGTGGATAGTGTATCATGATAAGAAAGAAACCGCGGACGGGTTGGTTGGAGAGAGGCGGAGACACTCAGAGTCGCGGCAATGGTTAGTACATCAGGAGCGAAGAGATGTTTGAGAACGGAAGAGGCTTTACAAGACGCCACGGCACACGTTTCAATCGGTTGGAACAAATAAATAGTGTTCATGGCGTTCAGCAAATCGACCATACCTGCCTCTTCGCGGCTGTTCAGCCTCCCCACATACCTGCAGCAGATCGTGTCTTGCTCGCGCTCGGTTAGGTTGAGGTTCATGTTGCCCAGCACCGACAGGAACTGCTGGCGTGTGATCTTCATCTTGCGGTTCGGGTCGAAGTCCTAAGGTAGGAAATTGAGTGAAAGCGTTGTTGCCGTGCAAGGAGCGTCTTTTTGGCTCAATCGGGAATAAATGCCGGGGGTCCTTAGCCCGCCCCAGGCGTCGATTCAACTGGTAGTACTTGTTCTTCTGCTGAATCATATAATATTTCGTTGCATGGCCTCAATCAAGCTGCCGTTTGGAGCGAAACGTACAGGCCACCTACCTTGCTTATAGTTTTGCGCCATAAGGGGCTACTTTTCGGTGGCAATCGAAGTGGCAACAGTCAATACTGGACCTGGGTCAGAAACCAAACAACCACCAACATGGGTGCTTCCCTGAAAGGTACCCGCCGAGGAATAAATGTTTTTGATTGTACAACCCACGAATGTTACCGAGAGAACTTTCTCCAAAACGGAATCGTGAGGAATTTATCACGGAAGCGAATCACATTGTGAGGGAACAGAAACATGTTTGCCCAGTTCAAGACTTCGAAGATTTCCCATTCGTACGACTACGCGTGGTGGTGGTGCCTTTGACTTTATCTTTGAAGGAATAGTGTCTTGTTTCCAAGGCTATATAGCTCTGCTCACCTGGAAGGAGGGCTTAAGGTGCATGCGGTAGTGCTTCACTCGATGCCGCACCGCGTCGAGCGACTTATTCAGCACCTCAACATCAACCGCGTCTCCGATATCGTTCCCTGGGCCCACGCCTGAACCGCCGCCACCACCACCCATCACTGGGCGACGGTTCCACCCGGCGCCGACACCTCCACCATCACCGCCACTACTTCCGTTGCCCATGTTTCTGTACATGACAGCATCTTGATGGCGAGCCGCCATTCTGTTGGTGACAGCGGTAGCGCTGCTGGAACCGTCGCATGTCGCCCGCCGATGCTCTTGCTGCCCCTGTTGAGCAGGCGAGGACGAGCTTCCGAGCGGTGATGGCGATGACAACGGTGAGAGGGGAGGAGACGGAGTGGTATTGGGCGACGGCACGCCAGATGCAAGATGAGGGACAGGAGCGGAGTCACCCTCCGCCTGGTGCCCCCGCGGTTGATGGTGGTTGTGCTGGGATCGACGGTGGTTGTTACCCGCGGCCACGGAAGGGTCGAATACCTGTTGAGAAAAGAAAGTACACATGAAGGGTAGCGTCGAGCAGAGTGCGCAGTTGGTTATGGTGTATCGAACGGAATGTCAATACAAGAGAGGGTTGGGGCTACAACAGGAGGGAAGCTGGTGGTTGGGTGAGCAAGGTGCACGGCACGGGGGGATCGGGAGAAGAGGGGCAAACGTCGCGAGGGACTGCAGAGAGGAATAATGATCAGGGAAGTGAGAAGGGCGCTAGGCGGGCTTGCATCACCAGTGCCGTTCCGTCAAGCCCACGTTATGAATGCCGTATTCACCTCGCCGTTCCAAGACGTGGCGACGGGAGGACCTCCGACCTTGTTCACGGCGACTGCTAGCCTCCTCCAATCCACCTGCAAGCAAAAACGACAATCGGCAGCATTCAGTCAGTGCACCGGGACACCCGGCAATAATGTTGCGTACATCAGAACAAGGTACGGTAAGGCATAGCACGGCCTCGATGGGCGGAAAACCTGTCAGGCGTCAACTCCAAACACTTGACTCTGGCCAAACCCAAACCACTGAGTTATCACCATTTTTTTCGGTGAAACCCGCATGGAACACACTTTTTGCTGCAGCCATATGCGTCGAGGCGGCAGGGGTATAATTCGAAGAGCCCTCTTCCCACGAAGGTGCTCAAAAGTTTGCGCGCGCGTATCGCTCTCACTCCAGTTCCCTACAGTCAAAGGCGGAAAAAATCTGCCAATAGACATTCTTGCTGGTGCGAAAGGCCAAACGGTTAACACCCCACCCGCTCGATAAATATTCATACCATATCTCCGCTCCTGTCACTTCGAAAGCCGTGCTCGAGGATGTGCAATTCCTCGTTGGTGAGAAGCACCCCCGCCAGCGCCAGCGCTACCTTTAGCTTTGGCAATGTGATCTTGTTTCCCGGGCATAATGTAACGGACCGGTCAAAGCAGCGAGGGGACGTGCGATAGAGCACAAGGCATAGGAGGAAAGAGCATGAGAGGGATTTTGTGTTATATTTCTTTCCCTCGAGAGGCTCGGCCAAAACCATCAATGCAACCGTGACCAAGCCGTAGCTGCTCGCTCTGATCAAGGATTCGTACATTGACACATTAACAGACGATGCAGGCTCTCTCTTCTCATCCGTGGCTAATGTTCGTCTGTTAATGTTCGCGCGAGTGTGCTCACCTCCCCTTGCTTCAGGCGATCGGCGTCGTTCAAGAAGTCCGCGATGTTAGCCCACCCAACCGCCTGTTAGAATGCCGGCATTTTTCGGAAGAGAGTGAATGGACAGACGAAAAAGGAGGGGTGGCGTGGTGTGTGTGTGTGTGTCCGTTCGTTGAATGAGTCACGTCACTCATGCTCTCAAAGTTTCTGTTCAGACGGACTAGTTGCCGTTCCCACGAAAAAAGCGCGCGCGAACCTGGCCTCTCGGACATAAACGCCCACCGAACCCACTAAGGGGATGAACCGCCCGACAGCCGCCACCCCTTTTCCTGCTTCTCTTACCAGCTGTCGAGCGACTTCCTTCACGACCAATGAGAGGGGTCGACCGCCCCCAACACTTGCTCTGTCCACGCTCCCGCCTGTATCACCGACGCCGCTGACATCGTTCTTTGAGGACGCACCGTTGGTGTCGCTGGCATCAGTAGAGCCGGAACCAGGAGGATGGCGATGGCCAGTGCTGGCGTGTGCGCGAATCAGAAACCCGTCGGGGATCTGCCGTTCAAGGGAAATGGAGCATGAGGGACAAGGCTGAAAAAACGGACACAACATCAACGTTGGACTATTTTCGTTCACAAGATGATTAATGCTGTGCGAGGGGAGAAACAACGCGACGGGCTGGGAAATATGTCTGCTGTCGCTACCGCTGCTGCTGCTGCTGCAGCAGCGGTCGCATACTTTCAATCTATCTATCTCGACAACGACCAATCTTGAACATGTACACTCCACACACAGGAAGGGTCCCGCGCACGGCGAGTCCTGCAAACAACCCGTGAGGCAATGGAGTGTGTGAAATGGTCGGATGGGGTACGCTGTCCCATTTGGTGTTCGTTGGCGCACATGCCCCGGAGAGCGTTGTTGAGGAAAGAGCTGTTCTTGCCCAAGCGCGACCAGCCTTGTTTTTTTTGTCAAATGGACAGCAGCGTGATCGTCGTTGAAGCGCAACGGAACCCCGAACTTCGCCAACACACACCTTGTCGTGGCCGGCCACCGCCGTTTCTACCTCCTCCAGGAAGGCCATGTAATTCACGTCGGACCTCGAGTCTGGGGAAGAGAACCGCTCCGCAAATTTTCGCTGGAGTAGCCTCGCCCTTCATTCGGTTAGGGCCGGTATTGGGTTTCAAATGTTGGTTACAAATACCGGCGGTGTCGACCGAGAGCTCCAGAAACGTGCGGGGGTTCTTCCCCTTTCGAGGTATCTATCCGTTTCAACGTGAACGACAGCCCACCGGCCTACCGGCACACGCTGGAGTCAACCCCCATGCCTGCTGCTGGCGGCGCAGTCTACACCACACCCCACGCCGTCGATACCTACGTTTTTTTGTATGAAGGCTTTTTCGGGCTGGCGTACCCTCCCATCAACGGTGCTTTCGTCATGTCCGTCATCTGTTACTCACTTGGGGCGAGCAGGGAGCAAGCCGACCGAGCTCAGGACCCTGTCGAACATGGCACCGGGTACCACACCCCTGTTGAACCGGTCGAAGTCGCGCAACGGCGGGGTTAGGCTCAGTCGCCGCCGGTGGATCGCCGCTCCGAGCTCCCTGCAAATATTTGCAACAGTTGCCACAAAACGCGGATACGTGCGAGGGTCTCGGGGCGGTTCGTCGTTGGATTTACGGCAGCGGGCGAAGGGAAAGCATCGCCAAGGCGTTTGACGTTTATTGTCACACATGCTGTTCACACGGTGTCCACGCATCATCTCTGCATGAACGACTCTAAACATCGTGGAGAATTGTATATATGGCTCTGAAAAGGAAATGTGCCTTTGTCACGAATGAATGTTCTGGGTTTTCAACAATGTTCTGCACTGCCGAATACAATAGTAGCATGAACCTCGAGAATCCTGTTCAACCTCAGCAAACTAACCCTCTGCTAGGTTCGTTTTATACCCGTCATCGTACATGTACACTCGCCCATAATTTCGACGGTCTAAATTACGCGGTTCGAGCGTCAGTGCAATGCTTTTCTAACGCTACTGCTACGCTCAACACGAAACCGTTTCCTATGCACAGCTCCTATGCACACAGAAATTTCTGCTGTGTGTCGTACGGCGATGAGACAAGCCGGACCTTAAGGTCTCCATGACGACCTCCTCTTCTTCCGCAGAGAGCGAGCACGTCTTTGGCGAGGGTGAACCGGCCGCTGGATTCGGCGAGAAAGACGCCTGGAATGTGTGCGTACGAACGCGACAAAAGAAGCGACAGGTGAAAGGTGCGGTATAGTGACGGGGGCGAGAGAGAGAGAGAACACTTGAGGGAGAGAGAGAGGGAAAAGAGCGAGAAGAAGAGAGAGGCCTGACGATTTGGGGTTCACGAGCGTCGGGACGGTCCGAAATAGTAGTGGGTGCACCAACAGAGGCAGCTCGTACGCTGCCGTCACCCGCGCAAATACGCAAATTGCACCAGTTTTCTGCAGGTTTTACACGATGGCGCTCTCGGAAGGCATTGGCATGATTTTAATTGTGGGCGCACTCTAGCGTAGCAGCGACCCTTTAGGAAAACATCATCGCATTGGTTTGTAATAGCGGAGAAATGATGACACATATTCCAAGTGATAAAAACCGGACAAGATATACATCCTCCCTCTTCTCTCCGAAGGACGGAATCCTAGACGTATCGCACCCACGCCCTCCACACGAACTCGGCACGCTTCGATTTCTCTTTCAAGCAGTCAGGACACACGCGGGGTTTCGATTACATGCATTATATATACCATTTTCTTTGTGTTTGCGAGTGCTAATGTCATAGTTACGTCAGGTCTCGTTTAGTTCGGAACGGCGGATTTCTTGCTATTTGTCATTTCAGGCTAGCACAGCCCCCCATCCACTGCCGTTCACTAGTATGGTGGCCCGCTCCGACCTGTGCGGCTTTGACCGAGGCGTCGACGTCACACTCGGGCTTCCGCTCCAGCTCCCGCACCCCAAAGACGCCCTCGATCTCCTCCACGAGGCGGACGTAGCGCACGAAGGGGGCCCCGCCCTTGTCGGATACGTTCGGATCGACGTAGGCCTCACAGAGGGTCTGTCAGTAGTAGTAGCAGCACCAACAGAAGCAGCAGCAGCAGCAGCAACAGCACAGCCAGAAAGAAACAACCTAAGCAGAGGACGAAAAATTCCAAGTTTATTTGCCACGCGCACGAACGAATAACCGGTGTTGCGGTCTAGAATATCAGGAGAGACAATCATTGTGCATTATGCATCAACGGGACTCAATGGTGGGGAGTGGGAAAATATTTGAAGACCGACAGGGTTGTCGATGCGGCCCTAGACTCCGTCATCCTCAGCAAGCAAAGGGTAGCGAACTCAAGCTACAGTTCGACCCCGCGAAGGTAACTAAGGATCTCGTCCAGAGACCATCAGGCCTCAGCCAGGGCGAAGACGGACGAGAGGAATCAGCAAGCGAAGAGATGGACAGCTTGGCGGGACAGACGTGTGTCGGCCGCAGTCTCCCATGCAGAATCAGGGCTGCATTGTTGCAAGTGGGCCTAGATGGTGATAGAATATCTAGCCGTTCATATTATTTTCGGGTACTCGCTCAGCTGGTCATTCCACTTTCGAGCTCCCTCAACCCCCCCTCGTCCTGGCCTCCCAGCGACCTACGCTACGTGTTACCACTTCCATTCCCCGGCGTGTTCATTGCGCTTTGTTCAAGAATGGCTAGGGTTGACGTCAGGCGGGCTGCACCCTAGACGGAACCCCGACTTATAGTTAGGCCGTCTTCGCCGACTTCGTGATAGTCCATGGAGGGAGGTGTACGGCTTCCTTGTTCTCCCAGAGACTGCGACAACCGGCGAACCCAACCGGTGCAGCATAAGAGGCGCCGCAGCTGCACTATTTTGTGCGGACATTGTCCCTAGCACCTCCGGTGTTGCAGTTGCAACAGTTTCCCATCACTGTTGTCTTTGAAACGTGCCAACCCGGCAGATGATCAAGTCAAATGCTTCTGTCGTCCAAACGAGGAGATGGCGCCGCAAGTACGCCGAGTTCCCGCCTCACAAGAAAAACGCTTACGTCGAAGACCAACGTCAATTCATCCGAACGTTTGAGCACCCCTGTGTCAGCCTGCGAGCAGGGGTGCAACAACGGTCTGCACTCCAGGAGACACCACGCTCGTCTATGACAGTGAGGAACCGCCCCCTCCCCTCTATTCCCCGCACCCTTGTTCACCTCGAGTTCGAGTGGAGAGACGCGGAACCCCGTGCTGAGAAGGTTTCGCCCAAACTTCTCACGGCTCATCGATCCGCTCCTCATGGCGTCATCGCAACGGAAAAACTCTAGCGTGCGCAACCTTGAGCTACAGTTCGAGCGAAAACAGAAACGAGAAAACAGAAACGTCAAAACGTGTTCGGTAGTCAGCGTCCTGTGGTTTCTGAAGAGTCCCGCACGAGGTGTGGGGAACGACCGCATGCGCGGCCGCATACGGATCGGGTCTTTGGGAGTACTGTTAAAGAAACACAGAAGAGACGATTATTGGACGTCTGTACCAAATAGTGACAGTTGCGTGCATTCAGCGTTGAAATGGGATGCCTCGGTTACCGCTTTAAAAGGAAATACCCAAAACGGGGGAAATGAGAAATTGTTGAAACAGGAGAGGAGACGCCTCAAAGGTCGAGTGCATCACGCCTTGGAAGGACTGCCAAAACTGTCCAACGAAATGTCGGCACCGAAATAAAGGAGGTGTACACATTTGTTCCTCACTAGACAGATGTAGTTCTGAAGACATCAGCAGGAGGAGTGGAGAGAATGATTATATACGATTAGAACCAAATAACACCTTATCAAACCCACCGAAACGTGAAGGCCTTCAGTTGGGCCAGCAGCTCTGCTAGCCCTCTGTCGCGGCCCCTCCCAAGCACCACCGAGGATGTCATGTTCACCTCCGATACCACGGAGTGGGCCGGCTGTGTCGAGGTACGTACGGGTGACGATTGGAGTTCGCACGTGTGCCGAGCCGCGAAAGCGCGCAACGCATGTACGCGTCGTCAACGGATTCCCCAGGACGAGGAGGTAGGGCGAGGGGTGAACTGTTGTCCGAAATTCTCTATTGATTCTGAGAACGTGCTGTAGGTTATCATCCAGCATGCTTACGCCATGGTTCTTCCAACGCAACGTTCTCCCCGCATCCTGTGCCCAGGGTTGCACAGTACATGAAACGAGGGCTTCAAGCGCGTGGGGGGATGTTTTTCACACCGGCAAACTGATAAAGTTGCTTGTTGCCACTCTTTCCTCGCAGCTCACAAGCCCTCTCACGGCAAGACAGTTCTGCGCGCCGTGCCTAATCCTACTTAGCAACCGAAGTACGACGCACCCTGCTGAGGCCGGTAGGTTTCCCGAACACGCGCGACGCCGCGACCGACGTCCCGCAGCAGCCCGAGCTACTACCGCCGCCGCCGCCGCCGACCGACGACGAACCGCCCCCACACCCGTCTTCGCGGTCCCCGTCCCCGTTGCAGGTGCCGCCGCCGCCGTCATTTCCCTTGAAGCGAGAACCCCCCCCCCTGCCCTCGTGGTGGCCCACAGCGAGGCAGCCACCAGGCGATCCCCGAGCCCCTTCGCCGAGGTCCTCGAGGAGGTGTCGGTAGGCGATGAACACGCCGGTGGGGTGCCTCGGGTCGTCGGTGGCGGCGTACCTGGCGCGAAGAGGAGGGTTGGGGTTCTGTCGGGTGATGTTGTATGTGTATGCAAGATGGGCTGGCACTAAAAAGTGGGAGAAAGAAAAAAGGGAGGGGAGGAGACAGCTTCGAGTACACTGCGCACCCCGTCACTTCCGCGAGGAAAACGAGTTCCACCACCTCCACTGCCACGGCGGTAATAAGCATCACCTCCTCTAATGACCGACGATCGGCGAGACGCAAAGAACGCACCTCTTCGACAGCAACTCCTGAGTGTGGTGATCCGCGGGAAGGACGCCAAATGAACAGAGAACCCGCGCCAGTTGGCCCACCGAGACATGCCCTTCATTCTTCCTGTCGAACTCCTGGAAACCGGGCTGGATTGAAAGACGGCGTCTGCGCAGCGTCGCGCGGATCTGCGCCGTTAGAAAGGGAAATGCACGGGGTCGAGGTTTGGTACTTGAGGATTGCGGTGACGCTGAGGAAGAGCGGACAATGGAGTTTGAAACACGACAATTGACTGGAGAATAGGGGTGGGGTGTGGGGCGCGGTGGTAGGATAAATGAGTGGAAAGGGGGGTGCATATAGCTCAGCAGAAAATCGATGGGGCTGCTCGTTCGCTGCGCAGCTGCTTCCCGTTGTTTCGTGTGTCGCCTCTGTCTCAAGCCCGGATTTCTGGGGCTTACGTGAGTACGCCCCCAAGTGGTGAGAAAGTAGGGGGTAGATAGGTGAAGACAGAAGTTAAGAGAGACAAGGGAATCGGTCTTTTTTGTACGTTTATACCTCTTCCAACGCTTTGTCGATCGTTTCTCTCTCTCTCGCACTCTCCTCGACCACGCCCCCCTCCTGCCGTTGTTGCTGCTGCTGCTCGCGCTCGTGCTGCTGTGGGTACTGGTGCTGGTGCTGGCGGCCGAAACCAACGACGGTGTTGTCAGCGATGGCATACACGTGCTCGCACAGATTAAGGAAGCTAACCTGAGAGACAAGGCACAAGGCAAGGACAGAGAAAGAGCGAGAAAGAAGAGAGACGGAGGTATACATGGAGAGACAAGAGGAATGTATTGGGAAGTGACGGGCGAGAGTGGGTTGAGAGACGATGAGGCAACGCATACTCTCACCCCCCCCCCCCCCCCGACTGTCCCTCTACACTGTTTATGTTTCCCTTTGGTGTTCCTCTCACCTTATTCTCGCCGTGCCGATACCGCCTGGTGAGGGTGTCGAGTTGGTCGTCGCTGAAAGGCAGGCGAAATGCGTCCGAGAGTCCGCGCCGAAACACGGACTCAGTCACCGACCCAGAACGTGTAGGGTCGTACGGCGCGTAGGCGTCCTCGGGGATCAGCCGGTGGTAGACCACCTTGCAGAAAGCAAGCACACCGTTCGGTGAGTAAACCGGGGCAAGGTAGGGACTAGGGGAGATGGCGAGACGCTGTACAGATCGTCATTGAGCACCACATTGAGTTGGGATGACACCCCATCATGTCCAGCAGCGGCGAATGACGCAGAGCTCGTCGAATACCCCGTGCTTCGAACAGACTGACAGCGTTCCAGTGAGCGAAATACACAAGCTGTGTGTACCAAACGCCTTCGGCACATCGACCCTAACAACAATAGACAACGAACGCGCGAGCGTGTGGCACACTCCACCCAACGCCCTGCAAGATTCCATGATATGAAAGCACTCACATAGGTCTGTTTGGCATTATATTACGAACCTTAGACGCCATCTTCCGTTCGATCGGCAAGGAGTCTTTCGGTGGCGGAGCCGTCCCCGTCCCGTCGGTTCGCCCCCTTGCCCGCCGCCACCCAACGCCGCAGCCAGCCGCTATCCCGCGCCCAGACACGGGAGAGCCGGAACCCTGCTCCTCGCCCACCTGGAAGATGTCCGGCACAGGCAGACGTCGACGACGAGAGGATCAGACGTGTTTAGTGATCGTGTACAAAGGAGGGGCGATTGTCCGCACCACCTTTTGGGGGGGCTGGTGGGTGATGGCGGCTGGGGACCAGGATGGTTCTTCCGTCTGGGACGGTGCTTCCGTCTGATCAACGATAGTTAACCAGTCGCAAATACATTCGTGTGATGCGTCGTGTTGGGAGGTACGACGCGGTGGGATGTCCAAGCGTTTTGGACGGGCAAAACCAAGGCCCAAACGAAGGCGGGCTGTGCGACGTATGCTGCACGGCCCCCATCCCCGCACCCCAACTCTGCTGCTGCGTCATTCCCGAGAAAACAAACCTTCCTCACCATAAAACCCACGGCGCCGCGAGTTGGGAAACCCGTGACGGAGCTGTTGATGGAAGAGCCGTCGTCGAAGTCCTCTGCGTCGGCCTCAACCGACCCTTGGCTTATTTCACTGGTTGGAGAGGGTTTCGAGAGGGAAAGTTCAGCAAACACTGGCAATGTTAACTCAGAAAGCGGGAGTAGTGGTGTGATAGAAAAACGTAGGTGACTACTCACGCTCATAAACTCACCACATGCTAGGTGCCACCAACCACAGGAGAGAAGGCCGCATATGATGTCGTCTGTAGTGGGAGCTGTCATCGCGAATAGTTATGCAACTGCAGTTAGTTTTACGTAGTGTGCGCAAGGTTCTGTGGACGCACCCGTCAGGAGAAAGGCACGCGGTCGTTCCGTCAGCCGTTCCAGCCCCCTCTGTAGGAGCGAGACGTTGTTTCTGCAGCTGCGTGCAATGTCCCTGTCGGTGCTGTTGCTGCTGCTGCTGCTGCTGTTGGACCGGTACAACATCGGTGGCACCAGCATCGGCAGCAACAGGACCAATACCACTAGGTGCAGAACCCGAAGCGTCGTCGCAATCTGCGTGCATCGCTCTGTAGCTCACGCTGCCGTCTCGAGTCTGGTATGCCCGTAGCAGCAACCTTGTTTCGTGAGAGGTTTTTGTTGAATCCGGCACAACGCCACAGGAAGCGTGTCATTTCAGGTCGATGGCATGAGACACAGGGAGCCCGCAGGGGGGTGCAAGACCGCGTGAAACATTGTGGCCACGTCTTGCCATGTGTGTGCCGTGCGAGGGAAGGGGGGGCATACGTAACTCAAATCATGGATCGGAAGAGATTTTTCCTCATTTTCGGACTCTTAGGGTGTACAAACCAGCTGACGAATATTGAAGACAACACAGCTTCTGGTTCGAACGGCATAGCACATTCTCGAACTTCGGTGTATTTCCCCATGTACCCCCCCCCACAAAATCGCGACTCGCCCCCAATCTTTCCGTCTGATGCTACTCTTGTCATTTTCCTCGCCTGGCTTCCTCTTTGGACAGCCTTCCCTTGAACATAGAGTCCAGCTGCCGTAGGAAGATAGGGCTCGTGACCCTACCGCTGTGCCTCTTGTCGAACGTCTCAAACAGGGACTGGAGTTTGCCAAACGAGGGTGAGGGCGGCGTTCAGGCTAGATGGGGCTTGGCGAGGCATGCATGCTCGCACGCAGCGAATCACACCATACTACGAAAACGTCACAGTCACCGCCGTCGGCGAAAAAATCAGCGGCAGAAACCCGGCAAAAAAAACAGCATCAGTCAAGGCATCAGACGAACGCAGGCTCCCCCGTAAGAATCTCGAGACCGTGTCAACCATAGCATCCCTACAATAACGGCGCACAGACTGCAATGCTTCAAGGCCAAGTCCCACAGCAGCAGCATCCTGCGAGTGCGAAGAAAAGAAAATATAAGGCCGGTGCCTCACCTTCACGATTAGGCCCTCCGTAGCCGAAAACAACCTGACCCGTCCCAGCAGCGTGGCCACTTGGTCCGCCTCCTGGGTGGAGAGTCCCGGGCGGTGTACCCCATACCCAGACCCCGGTCGGTCTTCTAGGGATAGCTTGACATCCAGGGTAGGGTTCTTCTCGAGCCCTCGGCGAGTGAAAACCTGAACCCAGCGAAACCTTGAGATATTGTCATCACACATCACAAAACCTTCCTTGTGTGCGTGCAAGAGCTATTGCGCGTTGCGCTGCGTGGTCATGACCGAGGTATCGCCGGGGTTCCGTATTGCCCACAGCGGGCATGTTATCCTCCTACCTGACCGCATAAATGTTTACCCGTCACGAAAGCGGATGCATTCTGTGCCGGACAATGGACTTTCTCATTCTGTATTTGGGCCTAAGCGGCTCTTCGTTTGTGTGGCTGCTTGTACGTTTATCGGCGAACCAAACAGGAGTGAGCCCTCTTCCGGCGATCACATCAGTCAGCAGTAGACAGTAATGGTGCTTAGCATCCGAAATCAAACCAGAACACATTAGACCAGTCAGCGCTGACTGGTCTAGTGATTTGATGTCAGTTGCTAAACGTGGTGCAGACATTCTAAATACACATCTTTGTCCACCAGGTAGGCGCACCTTCTCGACCTGCTCGCACAGCTTCCAATAGTTCACCACCCCTTCGCCGATAGCGCCAGCCCTCGCGTCACCCTTTACCTCGTAGCGCTTAACTAGCACCTCAACCTCCTGTACGGTCAGAAGGTCCGAGGGAGGAGCGCCCCTTGCCGGCGCCGTTAGGCCGGCTTGGTCGAGGGCGCGTCGGAACTGCCCTTTGGACACCTGTTCAACCACAGGAAGAGCAATTGCATAATTCAAAACATGTTTTCGTTGAAGAAAGAAGCGTTAACATCGCCCCTGCCACCAAGCGATGGTCCGCTGGGGGTTTCAAGGAGTGGAATAAGCGTGTTCTTCCGTCTATTCTAGAAATAGTGGGTTGACGTCGTGGGTCAGATATCCACCGACCGAACGGCAGTACCGATCGGAGGGTTCGTTTAGAAAGTACACTCCGCACAACGTATGACGTACATTAGCAGAAACGAGCTCGCGCCGTCTGTGCTGTTGCAGTGCAAGAGAGACTTCCAGTTGGCGCTATAGACCATGCACATCAGAAGAAACGACGCAACGAATGACAACATTGCCAACGTTCATACACGCATTTATTTGTGGTCGGTTTCAAACTCGCCGCGTACTACCTTTTTGTTGTGATGTACGTCATATGGCTTGAAAAACTCTTGCAGCCGAATCCGCCTCTGCTTGCAAAGTGTGCGAAGCTTATCCTTGAGGGGTCGTACCATGCCATCATGACCCTTTTTCGGAACGGAGAAATAGAGAGAGAGCGAGACAGACAGGCAGGCAGACAGACAGACAGAAGTGAGACATGCGAATAAGGGCGTGCGATGTAGAACCAGAGGCAAAAAAAAGCCGTGGCATTCACTTTGTAGGATGTACATTGTCGTTTCAGTTGAGTGCAGCCACTTCTTGTGGTTGCTTGTGGTGGTCAGATCGAAGAAAAGAAGGACGAACGACCTGCTTCTGCCTTGAAAGAACTCTATGTACAGTAGAACGGGCACTGGGTTCATTCAGCACGCTGCTTTCTTTGTGATTCATCCGTGTTTCTCTGCCATTGACAGCTGGCTGGAATTTCGCCTGACGCGCGTTCGCCCTGACGTTCCCGCGTAAAACATGACCCGAAAAATTTGTGCATAGACGACATCAGTGACTCACACACATTGTTCACATCATCCACAGATGGTTCCGACTGCAGCAAGCATTCAACGGACAACTAATCATGTAGTCTACAGCAGTAGTAATAACACCGGCGTTCCTTTCAACTTTCAACTCTGGGACATTGACTACAGTATTTCACAGGACCAATGAGGGGCCTCTCCACATGCCACAAGCGTTCTAGACTACATCGTATTCACCGTGCGTCCGTGCTCCATTAGTCTAGTCAATGTAGGCAGTATGTACAATGATCCAGTCTTTGTGGTGCGGCTAGAGTATATGTCACCTTCATCATGATCGGCTCATCGCCATCGTCAACCTCCAAAGTATTATGCTGCATCAAGGACGGGTAGGTAAGTTTATTAAGAGGATTTCCGGCAGAACCAAGAGCCTGTGACGCCGTCATGCCCTTAGTGCAGCTCGTCGCTGCTGAGGACAAAGCGGCGTGTAGGTGTACTTGAGCGCAGCAGAAATTTGTTTCGTTTCGCGTATGGTTCGCTGCCCCCTTCTGTGCCGGTTCGGTGCGCACCAAGTCTACACGCGGGGGGATCGGGCGGCCACGCTCTCAACACTTTCTTTTCTCTCTCCTCTCGCGCTGTCTCCTTATCTACTCACACATGCATACGAACGTTTCGCACTGACATCAAAACACACGAGGCACGAGGGAAGAACGGGCGCTCGTGAGCACGACAAACATTCAGATCCTTCCTCCTTGTTGCTGGCGCACTTGGCATCGTTTGGTTGCACAGGGAGTGTTGCGGTTGGTGCTACAGACACAGCCAGCAACGGGGGGGGTGGTCACATCCACGAGACCCCCCGATTTGCGGCGTGATCTCGTGATCTCGTCTACCTGCTACTGCTGTCAGAAGTCCATCGTGATCTCGTGCAACCTCGAGCCACCTACCCTGCAAGCTTTTCGACGTCGTTGTTGCAAGAAAACCTTCCACGTGTACAAGTGCACGATCCCTCTTGCTACCGGAGGCGACAACCCAGCGCACAAACCTGGCGAGCGGGGCACCCAAACCGAACGGTATCTTCTGTGAAAAAGGGCGTGCGGGGGTGGATCCAAAGCAATGTCTGAACGAAAAACGGAGGGTAAGGACCACATGGAGGATGGTGATGAGGACCTAGAGGACCCGGATCTGAAGGTGTGAAGGGAGGGGCTTCTCTCGGCTGTTGCTATCGATGTCATGGCCGCTGGCCGTTGATGGTGCAACTGTAAGTGGTCGTTGTGGTACTGCGGCCTGGTTGGTCCGTCCACTGCAAAACGTACAACGAGCGCCTGGCACAAGGTTCTCTCAGGTCCGGTATCTACCCCTGAATCTACTGCTCCCTGTAAGGCCGATGATTCTACATGTAATAATGTAGCAGCACTTCTGCAGGACGCCCTGGAACTTCCAGACTGCAATTGTAGGCAAACGATGATGTTATTTTGTTCATGCGTGTCGTGTGGTATGTACACAAGGTTATCCTCCTGGGAGACTCTGCCGTGGGGAAGTCAAAGCTAGTGGAGCGGTACCTGATGGACGAATACAACCCCCGGCAGCTGTCTACATTCGCGCTGACGTTATTCCGGAAGAATGCTAAGCTGGATGACGGCGTCGAGGTCAAAGTTGGTGAAGAGGACAAATAATTTGTTGGTCGACTGTACTGTACAGGAGCAGTGTAGACCACCTTTTTACCGTGCTCTCTTCGTGTTGATTTTTTTTTTGTGTAGTGGTAGACGGCGGTGGTGATCAGAGTAGGCAAGAAAATGCTCCACCACTCGTCTCTCGGATACACTCCCTCCTCGCGGATACGTTTTCTGTGTACCTTTGACAGCGGGGTAACCAGGAAAACGGTGTGCGTCTGTCAAACGTGCATAAAGCTGAGCCACGCCCTGAGTTCGTCCTCGGGCAGTCTACGAATGCCTGCAAGAAGCAACCGCGAAACACGCAGGTCTAATCGCACCGGGTCTGTTTTTTGCCGGACTGTTTCTTTTGGACGTGGCGGACGGTGGGCGGGCGCAGATTTCTGGGACACCGCGGGACAGGAACGGTTTAGCAGCATGCACCCTTCGTACTACTACCGGGCGCACGCTTGCATCATGGTTTTCGACGTGACTCGAAAGGCGACGTACAAGAACCTTTCGGACTGGTACGGGGAGCTGCGGCAGTACTCGGAGAGCATCCCTTGCCTGCTTATCGCCAACAAGATAGATGTTGACTACCAGGTGGGCCAATAGAGGAGTGTATCGGCTCGAACCGTGTCGCTAAGGCTCCTTCGTAATTACAAAAACTTCTCAAATGATTGTACGCCGTGCCTACAGAACTAGCGCCTCAACATTACGAGGTGGTTTCACGGAAACCGAGGATCTCACCGGAAGAGTGTAAATGCGTACCTACGTGACGAGCACGTGTATCACCATAATATTACAGTACTTCGAAGTATTCGACGAAATCCCCGGTGGTAGTCTTCAAAACACCGTCGTCACGGCCACCTGCTCCCAAAAATGTTTAACCCTTTTGGGTCTAGGCTGGACTGTCAGATTTGGTTTTTGCGCCAAAAAAACAAATGAGAGCGAGAGCGAGCGGGAGAGAAGTTGTTAAGGCCACTTGTTAAGCTGTCCTTCTTTGGGCTGTCTTTTTCTCCAAAAGGGACAGCTGGCCAAAGAACCACTTGTTACGTTGTCTTTTTTTGCATTTTTGGACCTTCGAAAAAGGGACAGAAGAAAAAGACAGCGCCATCCTGTCTCTTTTCGGGCAACTTTGTGACAGGATGGGACAGTCTTTTTTTTGTTGCCCTTTTTCTGTCACAACACATGACACTTGCCCACAAACTTGAATATCTCGACGGATGATCCCCGCAAACTCTAACAGTATTCGCACGAGTCGTGTCATGTGACTGGTACGGAGTCAGTAGCCTCGGCGATAGACGTAATGTTGTCATTCGGCTGACCAGGTGGACAACCCGATGTGTGCGGCAAACAAGCGGCAAACGAGCCGAAAGAGCCTGGACGCACCAGCGGTGGGTCTTTTTGGTGCACAGTCAACTTTTGCGAACCCAACTTCTGGGCGACCTATAGCGTCCTGGTCTGTATCAATCACCACACAAGACGAATCAGACGCACAGCTCATGGCGGATACCTTTGTCATCGCTGTTGCTTCGGTGTGTGACGAGGGAGCATCGATGAACCAAAGTTGCAACACGGGAAAAAGAACAAAAACTATGCTTGGAGGCGCGGCGGGTCATTTTTCCCGCTTGTCCACCACTCTCGCGCTCACAACCTCTGACCGCCCGTCAGCCTCCTGGTCTGTATCAACCACCACATAAGACGGACCATACACATAGCTCGTGGCGGATACCTTTGTCATCGCTGTTGTTTCAGTGTGTGGCGAGGGAGCATCCATGAACCAAAGTTGCGGCATGGGCAAAAAAGAGCAAAAAAAGCTGGTTGTTGGCGCGGTGGGGTTTTTCAAGGTGCTGTTGACTCTCGCCACCTCAGTTGCCGTGCCTCCCACTGCCCTGTGGTCTCGATCAGCCGCCACACAAGGCGGACCAAGCACCCAGCTCGCGGGCGATAGCTTTACAGTTGCTGATGCTTCGCTCTGTGCGGAGATATCACCGAAAAACCAACTCGGTGCCAAGGTACTTATTGTGTGACGAACGACCGTTGCACTTGTTGCAGGGTCATTTTTTTTGGCGGATGAGCAAAAAGGATCGACCAGCACCGTAACAAGGGGGTCATCTTTTTGCTAGATTATTTTTTGGTTCGTCCCTTTTTGAGAAAAAGACAGCCCAAAAAACGACAGCTTAACAAGTGGCCTAAGGAGGACCCGATTCGCAGGGTGTCCGTCGATTGACTTTTACCAGAATCGGTGCACCTTCGCATATATATGGCGTCAGCAGGGTACTGGTTCGAATCTCCTTGGGTGCACATTTTTTCTCCTGACTTGGACATTTTTCCATGGACACAATATGCGTGTCAGTCCTGAGAACACCTCTTGGAATCGATCCTATAAAGAACCTTGCACACATCGGATAGATCAGATCTCTATAGATCACTGTAGATCATTTCGGTCGCAGATCACCAAAATCGATAGCGATCTGTTGATCTGTCCTTGTTTCCGAATCTAAAGACACAGATAGATCTACACATGTTTGCTGCTCTTGATCTATAACTACATAGATCTGTGGATATTTCCGACTCCTGATCTATAGACACAGATAGATCTACACATGTTTGCTGCTCTTGATCTATAACTACATAGATCATCTGTGGATATTTCCGACTCCTGATCTATAGACACAGATAGACTACACATGTTTGCTGCTCTTGATCTGATCATCTGTGGATGTTTCCGACCATAGATCATCTGTGGATGTTTCCGACTCTTGATCTGTAGACCATAGATCATCTGTGATGTTTCCGACTCCTGATCTATAGACAAAGATAGATCCAAACATGGCTGCTGCTCTTGATCTGTAGACCATAGATCATCTGTGATATTTCCAACTCTTGATCTGCAGACCACAGATCATCCGTGATGTTTCCAACTCTTCATATATATGTAGACACAGATAGATCCGAACATGGTTGCTGCTCTCATCTGTAGACCACAGGTCATCGGTGATAGTTCGATCTGTAGTAGACCACAGGTCATCGGTGTATTTCCGCTCTTGGTCTGTAGACCACAGATCACGTGGTATTTCGTACCACGTGTCACGGGCCACGTCAGCTCCTCGAGAGAGCCCACAGCTCCCACACTCCCGATGTGGCATACATCTGCTGTTCCTCAACGGCAACCAAGAGTACATCCCGCTGGAGGTGCCCAAACTGTCAAAGGCGGATGGCATCAAGGCGGTGCCAAGGCGGCTTTCCAACCCAAGCGAGGAGACGGAGAGTCTCGCTGTGGGCGAGGTGGTGCCGGACACCAACAACGACGAATACGCGGACGAGTCGTTGGAGGTCGAGATTGCATCACCATGAATCTGAATGGCGGGGGCTGGGGGGGGTTGCGTCGTTGCGGATGCCGTTGTTGTTTGCGTATTGCTTAAAATCATGGTTTTCGCTTCTTCTCTTGTGTGTGCTACGGCGACCGCGTCAAGTGCTTGATTTGTACGGACAGAAGAAGGTACTGGGTAAAGAGAACGGAACAATTTGTGATGCGAAGACAACATGAACAACAATGCTGTTGGTACGTTTATTTTGCGAACAACAATTTTCGTGCGGCCGGGCTACTTCAGAGGTGGGGGGGGGCGGGTAGACACGACGTTTTTGCTACCACATTTACATTTACATTCAGATTTACGTCGTCTTGTACAATGCTCACCTTTACATCTTGGTGTGCAATTGTATCAGAGTGGTGTCGGGGCAGACATACATACTCCCATTCATCCGAACATGTATGCCAACCTTGATCCATAATCCACAGATCATCTGTGATATTGATATTCCGACTCTTGATCTATGCACATCGATAGCTCCGAACATGTTTGCCACTCTCGATCTGTAACTCACAGATCATCTGTCCTTGTTTCCGGCTCTCATCTATAGACACAGATCGGAACATCAACATTGTCTGCTGCTCTTGATCTATAGCGATCTGTCGATCTGTCCTTGTTTCCGACGCTTGATCTATAGTGATCTAATCTGTCGATCTGTCCTTGTTTCCTACGCTTGATCTAAAGCGATCTGTCGATCTGTCCTTGTTTCCGAATCTTGATCTATAGCGATCTGTTGATCTGTCCTTGTTCCCGACTCTTGATCTATAGCGATCTGTTGATCTGTCCTTGTTCCCGACTCTTGATCTATAGACACAAATAGATCTGAACATGTTTGCTGCTCTTGATCTATAACTACATAGATCTTCTGTGGATGTTTCCGACTCTTGATCTATAGACACAGACAGATAGATCTACACATGTTTGCTGCTCCTGATCTATAACTACATAGATCATCTGTGGATGTTTCCGACTCTTGATCTAAAACTCCACAGATCATCTGTGATACTACCGGCTCTTGATCTACACCATAGATGATCTAGATCATGATCTATCCGATGTGTGCTTGTGACACTTCCATCGAATTACCCGTCCTGGCCACAAAAGGTTCCCAGTTGAGGGTAAATTCTGTGGGTGGAGAGAGGACCCGATTCGCAGGGTATCCATCGATTGACTTTTACCAGAATCGGTACACCTTCGAAAGAACACATATGTATGTATGTATGTATGCACACACGCGTTCATGTACATACGTTGAGAGATTCATGATTTGGAATTGATTGGCCCCATTCCCGAGACCTTGATATTACCCGCTGTCACTGAAGTCTCTTCATTGGTCAGGTGGTTAGCGCGGGTGCTAAGAATCTAGACACACCTACCTATGGACTACACGGCGCGAAGGGCTGCAGGGCGGCAACTTCACGACTTGCCACTACACCAGTATTTGCAAATGATCAATCAATGATCAGTGAGAATGCCTTAAGACTCAAAGTTAACCTGCGCCATTACCGTTAACATATCGCCCCTGCCCAATCCACGCCGCCAACGTAAACGTACCCTAACCACAGGTGACGAAGAAGAGCTTCAAGTTCGCCCAGCAGCACGATCTCCCTTTTTTCTTCGTCTCCGCGGCCGACGGGACGAACGTGGTGAAGGCCTTCGACGAGGCCGTCAAGGCCGGCATGGAGTTCAAGAAGAACGGAGGCGACTTCGTGGACGAGGCACTGTCCCTATTAGAGGGAAAGTAAACTGCTGCTGTGGTATAGAGGGTCGCGTTTTTAGCGAGCTTGGTGGTTCTCGGCTTGTTGTTTGAGAGTTCCGTGTCGGTCCCCCTTCCTGTCGTGGCACTTCGTCCACTACTGCTGTAGGCAGTAAATAATAGGTCTTGTGTGTCAACTAAACGAGGAAAGCGCAGAAAGCAATGGCCGAGGCATGGCCCACACTCATGCTGGTTGCAGGCCCAGCGTTTTTTCCGAGGAACGTATTCGTATATGTGTGTATTAGGGCTGACGCATGCGGTGGGAACAACGCGAAGAAAGCAACGAGCTGAGCTTGTTCGACTTAGCTGACAGGTACCCTCTTTGACGCACACAGCAGTATTCTTGGTACAAGATACTGTGAAATATTAATCATCAACACGGCATATTCCTGCGCGCACCTGTTGAGAGTCTTGGAGGGGTCAACAGGAAGCCATTCTATCGTAGAGATAGATAGGCTAACTTGATTGCAACAGAGGCCACATGGCTGGTAAATGCCCCCCCTAACATGCGATACAGAATACGTTGCAAGCACCACTTAGGGTCCTCAACACAGGACGATTTCCATTCGCTCTGCGTGGAGTAACCCTGATTGATAGGACGTAGAACGCCCAGCCGGAGTACGACCAACAAGTGGTCGTGCCCCGACACGGGACCACCGCCTTGAGTTTGGCTAAACGCCTTCACTACTCTCGGCTGTGTGGAGGATCAAACTGATTGCTTGAGCTGTACATATCTTTGCTTTTGTCGCGCCGCCCACTGTGTCGGGGGTACCATGGCCACCGATAGTTTCAAAACATTAGTCCACGGCCGCGTACTGTTAACCTGTCGATTTCAAAATCATAGATGAACGAGAACGCATCACGTGAAAACACAAACTTATGTTCGTTGGTGAACAGACTCTTGCTCACACAACGCGTTACGAAACTCCCTTCTGCCATGGAAACTCACGGGCATCAGAGGTCTGGGTCTATTTCGTCCTACTTGGGACTTTCGCATGGTCGATGGTCCGCCAGGTACAACGCCTTCGACGGCGGTTGAAAGTCATTTCACAAAAGCTTGGCCGATGTTCATCGGCCAACCGGATGACGCGATCTGTGAAATGTACTGAACGTACACCACAACCGTCATCATGCGATGCCACACAGTCGCGTCGACGGGCTCTCCTTGAAAGCTCCCATATTTCTCAAAAGGACCCGCACGTTCTGAAACATCTCCAACACACAGCAGCCTCGGCGTATACAGCTTTGGGTCAATCAAACCTGCACGCTATCAGTACTCATATCCCAAAAGATGGAACGCGATTTTCAAGCACCACGACCAAACAGCCTCTATACGTGCAGCACTAGACTGTGTATGTATGCTATCAAGACATCGACGTGTGCCCGTTCGAAGCCACCGCGCTTTCTGTGTGCCCATGATAAACTTCAATCGCATCGGCTGCGTGCTGTCGCATACCAAACGAATCTTACAACAAATAACAGGCAGCGTTGACGGGCCAAGACGCGAAAAGAAAAAAACTCAAGATACACCTCTCAACTATGGCCTTGATTCAAACAACACCATAAATCAGACGTAACCCCACAACAATCGCCCACACTCATTCCCCAAAGCATGCTCTACGTACTTACACAGCCAGTGCAGCAGCATCTCACATCGAGTACAGCCACCCCGCGAACATGGACTTACGCACTTCCTTCAGTGCTTGCTAACGTCACACTTTCCGCAGTGCTGTCGAACAGCCAGACAACAGCACGCCGTTCGGCAAAACACGCGCGCCGACATCAGCGCCGTTGCCTCGCCCTCAATGTGCGATTTTCTATCACCCAGACAGAGTTCTTCACATATATTCACGAAACAAAAAAACGAAAAAAGTACAAACTCTTCTGAAGATGAACCAGGGATACATAACACCGACCGCCTCATTCTTTCCCTCTTCACAGTACTGTCTTTTTTAGTCATCGTGTCTCCCTTTCTCTCTCCCCCCCCCCCCCAACCGCCTACAAAGGAGAAAAGGAAGCAAAGGACGTGTTGCATGGGCCAACAATAATGAAAAAAAAAAAATACAGCAATCATTCACAGAAACCCCTTGAGAAAAAAACAAGTCAAAACGAACGCACGGAGAGTGACGACATCCCGTAGAAACTACGCGTCATCTGGTGAGGAGCACACATGGCAGCAAAAATTAAAATTGCATCCAAAACATGCTCAAAATTCTACCTTTCCGAACCCTTGCCAACATCAACAAACAGCTTTTCGACTCCCCGAACCGCCCTGTAAAACCCCTTCGGCGAGCCTCTCATGCGCTCTGAGCGGGAACCACAGACAAGAGCAGCAGCAATTCGACCACCAGACACACACAAAGAACCACACGACATGAGTGCCACATGCACCGACCTCCACAAAACACCGAAAAATTCGATGATCGCGGTCCCTCATCAATCTCGTCTCCAAGCGTGGGATCCACACTCACTCCCCGAACACGACGCAGAAACCGAACCGAACCCCACACCCCGCAAAAACACGCCTCCCACGAAAACAACGCAACACCTAAAAACGCTGCTGCGACGACGTAGGGGGGCGCCCTGCGCAAGACCTAAGCTAAAAAAAAGAGGCAAGTGGGCCACGCACCGCGCGTAAGTTGTTCGAGTGGTGTTCATCTTATGTCAACGAAAACCCGGCAAAATAATCTCCTTCAAGTCTCAACCTCGCCCCGCGGCGCTGCAAAGCAGTCAGTAGGTATGACGCCGAATGATCAACCAAGGTGGAGCTGTTGGGAAGAAACGGGCGGGCATCCGCGGACCGGGGCAGCAATGGATCACAGCACCGGGCGCAGCATGAGTTGGGTAACCGACGGTACCTCCAGCTTTTCCCTTTGCCGCACCTGTATTGAAACAAGCAAGTGTGCGGAAAAAGAACAGCGGGAGTGAAAAACATGTTACCACACGTAGAGTTTTCAGGGATAACGACGAGAATTGTCCGCGCGAATAGGTCCAACCAAACTACGGGGGGAAGGGCATGAATCATAAAAGAAAAAATGTACGAAAAATGGTCAAGAGGGGCGACAAAAAACATGTTACCACACGTAGTTTTCAGGGGTGAGAACAGTCGGCCCAGATAGGTCCTAGGTTCACCGAACTACGTCAGGAAGGGCATGGAGGAGAAAAACGATTACTGTGCCGCCCACAGCCAGCCGATGCCGGTCGAAACAAAAATCAACAAACATGAGTTGTTTTTTTTTGTCGCAACAACTCGGTCCTTGGATTTTGCTCACAGCCTCGCCAGAATTGGCGCTACCTTGTGCTACTGCAGACACGGCAGGCCTATGGCGGGGCCTCGGTAATTGCAACGGGGCAAGACTTGACCAAAAAGGAAACGAAACTAGACCCGGACAGGAAAACGAGACGTTGCCGCTTGAGATGAGGGGTCGGTGCATCAACGATTTGCTTGCAGCGGTCGACGCTGCTGAACAACACACATAAAGACAGAGAGAGAGAGAGAGAGAGAGAGAGAGAGAGAGAGAGAGAGAGAGAGAGAGAGAGAGGAATAGATGCATACACCTAGAGAGATAACAGCAGGAGCAGCAGCACGCCAGCAGCCGCAGCAGCGGTAGCGACATTGCAAAGCAATGATCTTCTCTGGCCGCATCATCAGCCCTACGTTTGGTTTCTTATACGTTCAAAGTACGAGGGAGCTCAGGCTGCAGACAGACCCTTTTTCGATGCTTCATCGTAGCATAATTTTCCCGTTGAACGCACGCAGGACACCCATGTGTTACTCATTCTCCGTGCAGTGTGTTAACCAATCCAATACAAATTCATGCCCCGGGGCAACCAACCTCCAGCCTCGGACAAGAGATCGACATCCAACCCAAGCCCCAACACACAACAACCAGAATAACGAAGGAAACCTCCGCACCTGCAGCTCCAAATACATGAGCTCGCCATCCTCCACCTCCACGGCGGCGGCCGCGGGGAGAAGGACGTCCGGCGACAGCACGCTCAGCTCCGGGAAGTTGTTGAAGTACCTGGGAAAAAGAGAAAGAGAGAGAGAGACAGAGAGAGAGAGACGTGAAAAACAATAACCTGCAGACAGGCTGATCCCCGCGTACGAACGACACGGCACGGCATGATTTGTGGTCCTTCCTGGTAAAAAAAAAAAAAAACTTGTCTTGCAACTGACGGACGACAAAACGGTACCTCGGATAGCATGAATGACGAGAAATCTGTATTTTTCGTCCACAGCACGCGGACGCCGTCTTTAGGCGGATGTCTTCTCTCGCCGCAGACGTTGTCTCTTCTCGGTGACGGTATAACTAACTCTTTGAACATCGCCAACGAAAGATGCGGTCTGGACTACTGCTGTAGCAACGCACGAGGCATTTGCACTGCTGCGGTTTTGATGAAGTGCGCGAACAAAAACGTCGCCCTCGCAAGCGTTTGCCCCGTGTGTTTGGCTCTCTCTCTCTCTCTCTCTCTCTCTCTCTCTCCCTCCCTCGTCGTGTGTGTGAGAACTCACTCCACGGTCCCGTCAAAATCGAGAGCAAGAAGGTGCTCCTCGCTCAGCTCCAGCAGCGCCATCGAAACACGAAAAAATACCTGAAGGGGGGGGGTACACAGATGCACAAAACCATCACGATCCAAGAGGCAACAAAAACAGCGAGGAAGATGGAGACAGGGCAGAGCGACACGGAACTAACGCATGGCATCACACACAACACCCTGTGTCGGCGTTTTCTGCCAGGTGTTGTCTCGCCGAACGGCGACAGCGAGAGCGACGTCACAAAATCCACCAAATAAAAAATACACGTCTAATTCTACAAGCAGTGTGGGGAGGAGTTTCGTGCGGGCTGAATAGTGCCGTTGCTCGGGATATCTGGCACAAACTGGATCGCCAAGTCATTCGGTACTTTGATTCGTGCCGGTGTCCGGTACAATATTGTAGTGCCGGTCTATTCTCTGGGCATATACTCGCGCTAAACAGCGCCCCTTCCACGGCATTGTACGTGAGTACTGTACTCGCCTCGAAGTCTCCCGAGGATAGCCACCAGTCCCAGATGCGCCTCACCGTTGCTCGCGGCATGGCGTGCAGGTACACGAAGAGGGTCTGGAACCAACCCATCGCCACCTTGTACCAAACGACACAGGCACCAAGGCCGGGGCGACGCAAGAAACATCATCAACGGCGACAACAGCATTGACGACAATTATCATGCCGCTGTTGAAATGCGCTCAATTCTAGAGCACCAAACGTTGGCCGCGAAAATACATGGCGTGTTATTGTGACCTTGACGCTGTTGCCGCCGGCCGATGCATTTCCGCATGCTTGGGGACGGCTGTATGCGACCGGTGGTTGCTGTTGTTCGTGCCTCGCGTAGGTTGTGTGTGTTCGAGCGCTGCGCTTACCATGTCGATGGAAAAGTCGATGCTATCGAAGTGGGCGGCCAGCGCGGGTAGGCGACTCCCCGAAAGAAGAGTCAGCACCTGTTCAAGAAAAAAAAACACAAAAACAAAAAGAAGCAAACGGCATGAAAATCCGAGCGCGGAGCGAAGCAAGCTACGAAGTATACGACATGGGGGGAAAGCACGGTTGGTTTTGTTCCCACGTTCGGTGCAGCTAGCAAAAGAGCTCTCATAAACACGTGAATAAACAACGGGGGGGGGATTAGTCAGCGGCGCGCTCTTCCCGGCGAGAAGAGGGGGCATGACACCGAGAGAGGGCACGCCACAGAGAGAAGGGTGACACCGAGCGATGAAGAATGAGATTTCCAATCCTCGTCTTGCAAGCTGGTGACACAAACACGGGAGAAAGAAGCTCCCTCCGTTTGCGCACACATCATTCACGAGAAATTTAAAAGCAGGAGCGTTCCCCACCCCGCCCGTGTGCACCCCAAAACGAGACAAAAAATAACAAAAAAACATGACCAGATACACAGCGCCTAACCACGCAAAAAAAGCGGGCGATCTCCCGACCGGCGTCAATCAGTACGAGACCAAATACTCACCTCCGTGCAGACGAACACCCCACCCCTGTCCGGCACGTAGAGGTCGTGCAGCCGAAACCCTTCGAACAGGCCCGAAAACACCGCATACACCCGTTCTCCCAGCAGCGTTGCCCCCCCCCGAGCCGCCGGCCGTGGGGGCGTCGGCGGCGACGCGGAAGACGGGGCCAAGACAGCAGGGGATGGGGGGGGCGGCGGCGGCGTCGGCGGCGCATTCTCGGAACCCCGGACCCCGGCGGCGTCGGCGGCGGTGGCGACGTCCGTACCCTTCCCGCCTACTACGGTATCGGGGGCGTTCCCAGCGGAGGCTGTCGGGGTTGGAGGGGGATCTAGGTTTACGGAAGCCGGGGACGGGGCTCCGTCGTCGTCGTCGCCAGCCGCGTCTTTGTCGACCACCAGCAACAGCTCACCGCTGCCGCTACCGCCGGCGGCGGCGGCGTTCTCTCTCGCTCGGGCGCCGCTCGACGATAGCAGCGGTGCCGCCGGTGCTGCGGCTGCTGCTGCCGCTTCTGCGGTTCTCGTGGTGAGCTTGGGTGCGACAGCCGCGGGGCCCACGGCGGTGTTGGTGTCTTCGGGCGAGACGAAGTAGAGCATCATCAACATGATGAGCAAGCGGTCCATGCCCTGATGCGGCACGATATTGTAGCAACGGCAAGTAATAGGGGGATAGATCCTCATCAAGGTGGGTGAGAGAGCAGGGGTAAGCGACTGTTCGCCTCCCGATCGCCGCGATTCGCGAACCTAGCAGCCAGAGGGTATCATGTCGCAACGGCAGGAACGACAACCGCAGTAGGGTGATACCCGGCACACGCGCTCAGTGTTTTGCCGCTTGAACGGACACCTTCTTCCCATGCGCCGACAAGAAGGAAATAACACATGGACAACGATCTCTTCCGTTCCAAGAGAAGAAAAAAAAATGACACGTCGTAGCCCCGTGGCCTTGTATACCCGGCTCCATAACCCTCCTAGTACCCAGTCCCTCCGCAAAAAAAAATTCGCAAAGTTGTTTGTCAGCCATTGGTCCAGGGGCTACAGTCCCCCCAAAGAATCTGAGCTCCTTGCCAGACAAAGGGTGACTTGGCTTCAGTAAGAAATGTGTCCCCAAAACACGCGGGGACACTTTTCGTACTTAAGGCAAGTCAGCAAATTTGTCCAGTACCAGGCGATGTACATTTTTTCGACCTAGGGGGCACGCGGGTTGGGAGATGTGTACACAGTAAGTAGAGGCCCAGGAGAGGCATCACACAGGGTATCACACAGCGTACCACCTCAGTCAAGCATGATAGACCAAGGTCTCACGTGCGTCGCACACAGTGGAGCCTAGGGTGACTACAGTGCGGTAAATAGGAAGTTTGAGCGCCGTTTCCCTAAAGTGACCCCATTTGGGCTTCCAGTACTAGTAGGGTTAAGGGCCTCACAACCCAAAGCACGCACCTGACAATAACCCACGGCCGGAAATCTAGCGGCGATGGCACGCAAAACGTTCTCGAGGCACCGCCTCTTGGACTCCACCGGCACGGCGGCCCAGGCGTCATCGAGCCTCTCCAGCACGGCGGCGTCGTCTTCTGCCACTACTGCTTTCTCTACCCCTGCCTCCTGCCGCGCCGGTATTGTTGTCCCGGCTGCTCCGCCCGTCTGCTGCCCACCACTGGCCGCCGCCACCGCGTTGCCGCTAATGACGGGGACAACCGTCGGCGACCACCCCCGTCTGCCAGCCGTTCTTTCCGTCTGCCGCCTGGGTGTTAAACCACCGCCGCTACTGCCGCCGCCACCACCGCTGCCGCCGCCGATCGTCATCCGCCTTGAGCTCCTCGGCGGCGAGGCCCTAATCCTGCCCCCCACCCCCTCCGACGACGGGTCGGGGGCGGACGGGGGGGGAGAATGAGGGAGACGGCGCGTAGAACCTCTGCCGCCGCCGCCGTCGTCGTCTCTACGGAACGGAGAGAGCGGGAAGGAAGCAAGCGTGAAGCCTCCTCCCGCCGGCTCCCGCGACGGGCTCGCTCCACCGGCGGCGACCCGGGCCCCCGGCCCCGTGCCCGGGCTCACGCCCGGGTTCAGCCACGAGAACGGGCCACCGCCGCCGCCGCCGCCGGTGTCGTTGAACCCTCCGCCCCCGTTCCCCCCCTGCAGCGACGCCCGTCGGCGGTGCGGGGTCGTCCCCCAGCCCCGCCTCCTCGGCGGGGTGCCCGTGCCCCTGGCGCCAACCAGCTCATCGTCGTCGAGTCTCCAGTTGCCCACCAGGAGGTTGGTCAGCGCGCCGCCGAAAAAACCTAGCCCGTCGCCACCGCCGCCGCGGTTTTCACCGCCGCCACCGCCTCCACCCCCAGCACCCCCCATGGTCATGCGCCTTCTGCCCCCCTGCCTGGGCGTGCTAGTCGCCGCCGCCGTCGATCTCGGCGTGGCCGTCGCCGACGCCGAGCCTCGCCGGTTGCTATTGCTGTTGCCGGGAGTGGTCGTGCTGCGGCTGCCGTCGCCGCTCTCACGGCGCTTGTGGGGGGCCACGGCGCCGAACGCCCGGGGCACGTCGCGCGCGATGAGGGCGGCGTGGGGCCCGGCCCTGCCGATCTCGACCAGCTGGGCGAAAGAGCTCGGCGACGACGAGAACGAGCACGACGAGAACGATTCCCTGCCACCGATGCTCCCGCCACCGCCGCCACCGCCGCCGCCGCCGCCGCCGCCAGCAATACTACTGCCATTGCTGACCCGACGATCCTTATCACCGTCGCCGCCGCCGCCGCCCCCGCCCGCGACGGCCCGTTGCACGAGCATCTGCCACACCGCGGGGCGGAGGCTCGCAGGCACCCCCGACGAGCGCACGATGCCCCCGAACAACTCCTTGCCGCTTTCATCACCGAAGCCGAGGGCATCTCGCCATGCCCGGCTCACCGCCTGGCACGCCGCGAGAGCCCGTAAGCTTCCCGAGAGCCCCACCGCTCGGGCCAAGAACGCCGGCAGCTCGCGAGCGAGAGGCTCCAGGTCGCAGACCCTGCCGCCGTCCCACGCTGGCTTGCTACCGCTACTGCGGCTTGCACCGCCGACGTTCACGATTGGGTCACCGCCGCCGTACGCCGTCTTCGAGAGGGGTGACCTGACGGCTGGCGCAAACCTTCCCGCCCCCGCTCCCGCCCCCCCCTCCCGCTGCTGAGGCATGAGAGGTGACACCGGGAGGCCATGGCGGGTGCTGTCGCTTGAGGCGGCCTGCAGAGCGGCGAACCCTCTCCCGCGAGCGCCGAAACCGCCACCACCGCTACCGCTGGCGCTCCCGGCCGGAGAAGGCGCTCTTGGTACGTGCTATGTATCAACATGTTTTTGGGCGGGAGTGGAGTGTTTTGAACGAGCCAAAAAGAGACAACGGGGGCGAGACCGGGAGGGGGCGAGGGCACGGCGGGAGGGGGGCGGGGTTGGGGAAGAAACCGGGAAGGGAACAAAGGCGTGGCATCGAACAATTATCCTCGTATTTTTACGCATGAAGATCGGCAACAGAATTCCATGGGATAACCATCTACGTATTTGTTCAGGGGAGAAAACGCTCGAACATACGCGATGACTGGGAAGGATGTTACAGATCTACGTATCTAGAGTTGCCAACGAATCTCTGAGCCACGCGAGCCTCGTCCAAGGCAAACCACTGAGGTGGATTTCGCGAGACGAGACACCACAGCGGAAGAAAGGAGACGAGAGAAAGAAGAAAGACAGCAACACATTTGGCACGAAGAAGACGTGCTCGACTCGAAACGCATCTAAAAATAAACAGCAACCACGCATACAAAGGAAAAAGTTATCCGTCCGCTCTCGCCACAAATTCGCAACATCTTACGGCGGGAACGACCACGAGATACAGGACTTCTGCAGCGCTTCGACCGCGCGAACCGCAAGGCCAAGTCATCTCCATATTTCCAATCCTTCCTCCACAGGTTGGCGAGTGTTCAGTGGTGCGCAGCAGCAAAATCCGGCGGCAAGGCGCCTACAGCGGTACTCGTAGCACCCTATCTTGTGGTGGCCGGCCGTAACGCGAGCGATCTGATGCCTCACACCTGGTAATCGAAGGCGCCAACATACAAACAAAAAATCAACCAACCAAAAGTTACAAACGCCCACCTCGTTTCGGTGCGGGCCCGGCGAGCAGCTCGACAGTGGGTCCCTTGGGGACGCACCCCCCGCCTGCACCCTGGTGGGCCCCGGCGACAGCGACGCCCGCCTCCGCCGGGACCGGGCGGAAGCCGGCGTCGACCACGAGGACCCAGTCACGCGCAGGGAAGATGTCATGCTATGCTGCTGTCGTTCCGTTGGGGAGTGGTGAGCTGCGGTCTTTTCTGCTGCCGGTGACCCAGGCGTCACTGCCGGTGACCCGGGGGGGGCAGGCGCCCGGCCGCGCGCGCGGGGTGGTGGTGGTGCCGCGCCGGGCTTGGGAGGGGACCCGGAGCGCGGCTGGTGGCGTGGCGGAGACCTCGAAACCGGCCCCTCCGCCTCCGGGCCAAGGCGACGAGACGGCGATCTCGTCGTGCGGTCCCTCGACGCGATCCCCTTGACGGCGGCCGCCGCTGGCTTGGGAGCTGCTCCCGCCTCCCCCGGCGGCGGCGGCGGCGGCGGCAAGGATTTTTGGGGCGCGTCTTCGGCCGCCGCGTCCTCCTGGACCTCCTGGACCGCCGCTTGGGTTAATCTCGAAGCGCTTGCGGGCGATCCCGGCGAAGACGACGAGGCGGCCCCGACGCTGTCGCTGCCGAGCTCTCGGAAAGACGTTATCGACAGCAGCCTAGCTCCGTCCCGGTCCCTGGCCCCGTGCCCTCTGTCCTGCACTTCTCCGCCACTTGTGGCGCTGCTAGCAGAAGAAGCCCCACCTGCAGAAGAAGCAGCAGCGGCGGAGCCGGTGGTAGTGGTAGAAGCAGCGGTCGCCATAGCCGGCGGTGGGGGGCCGTCGAAGAAGCTTCGGCGCGGTACCAGTGCTGCCTTCGTCCCTTCTAATTCCGCATTCGTAGGAGCAGAAGCCACGTCTTTTGATGAGCCGTCGTCGTGAACGACCCCAGCACCTCCCGCCGCCGCGCCCACAACAACGACCGCTTTGTCGACGTCCCCGCCATCACTGCTCACCCCCGGCCAGAGCACGGGGGAGCTCCTGGTCTTGGGGGTCATGTACATCTCCCCGTCGTCGGAGTAGTCCACCGCACTCGCGGACAAGCAGATGGAGGAACTGCTGCTACCCGCGGGCGTAAACCTTTCCGCTACCGCGAAGGTCGCTGCTACCGCCGCCACCGCCGCGACGGCCGCCCCCGCCGCCGAAGCACTGCCGTCCTCCGCAACCGCATTCTCCGTGTTCCCTCCTGCCGGCGAGGGCACAGGCGGCGGGAGGTCAGGATCGAGGCCGCCGCCACCCTGCCCAGCATCAACCGCAAGGGAAGAGGCGAGAGACGGCGTCCTCGTCAAAGGCTCAGGTGTGTTCCGGCCTTGGCGTTGCCCATGGTAGGACAGCTTCTCCATGACGGCGGGGGGGGACGGGGTCGTCATTGGGCTGCTTCCGGCAAAGCCATCTTCTCTGAAAGGAGAAGGTGGCGTGTCAAACCCATGCGATGCTCTCGACGACGCCCCCGCCAACGTCACATCTGCGGGACGCGACCCGGTTGCCTGGCTACCCTCAGCGGCGGGCACGGGCATGCCCGAGGGGCCTTTCACGTTCGACGCATCTGGTGGAGCACTCAGGTCGTCCGCTTTTGCAGAACCACTAGCCTTTGTTTCTACCGCCAGCACCTCCCCTTCCTTTTCCTCCTCCGCAACCGGTAGCGCTTCGTTCGTTCCGCTGTTCTCCTCACCTTCGATCGGCTGCGGCGAAGGCTCGCACGCAACCGCCACCGCCGCCGGAAAAGGTGCCACTTCTTCGCACGACTCAGCAGCACCGGCAGCGGCGACGTCCGCAGCACCGGAATCAGCGGCGTCTTCGCCGCGGGCACGGTCGAGCTCGTCCGCGCCGCCACAAACAGCTGCCTCACCCCCGTCGTCCACAGCCTCCTTAACCACGGAAAAAAGACCCACCTTCCCACATGGATAGTCCTCACTCTCGCCCTCCGCGCAACTACGAGGCTGGAGATGAGACGCGCCCTCTCCCCCACGTCCGAGCATGTCGTCACCCACGCCGACGCAGGAGTCAGCGGCATCCTCGCCTCCGTCCCCGCTCCCCACGCTCTCGCTCTCCAAGCTCACCGGGCCGAGGACGCCGAACTTGAAGATCTCGTCTTGGGTCAACGTCCTGCTCTTCTTGGCGGCGGGCGGCTTCCTGCTATCTCTCGGAGCCTGGCCCTCGGCGGCCACCGAACCAAGGACCACCTCGCCACCACCATCGCTACTCATGGCGAGGTCAACGCCGGCGATGGGGTGGACCGGTGGGGCGAAGGTCAGTTGGTCGCCTTGCCCCGCCGTCCCGCCATCCCCGCCCGACTGCTGTTGCGGCGGCGGTCCAAGAACTTGGTCGGCTGTTGAACGTGTTGCTTCTGCCCCGCGGTCTAACCCCTTGGATTCTTCCGCCAACGCCCCTTCCTTTGCTCTACCCTTCTCCCCGTGCACCGGCTCGTGCCCCCCCAGGTCGTCTGTGTCTTTCACCACCCCTCCCATTCCCACGGCCAACCTCTCTCTTCCTGCCTTCAAAAACGGATTGCTACTGCTGTTGATGCTGCTGCTGTTGCTGCCTCTGGCAGCTTCACTGACAATACCGATTGTACGCTTCCCTCCTGGTATCTCCTTAGTGTCCAAGGCCTTCGCCGACGGCGGAAGGGCCCGACTCTTCACGCCAGCACCGCCCTCCCCAGGAGCTGCCCCGCCGCTCGCGTCAACCGCTGTTGCCGCTTCTACCGGCAGCGGAGGTACCCCATTGCTGTCGCCGCCGCCGCTGCCGCAGCTGATGGCAGCCGGAGCAACCCGCCGCTCATGATCCGTGGACGTTTTTTCTCCACTCGTGGCGGTGGTTACCGCAGCGGCAGTGGCAACGGGCGCCGGGGCCCATCGCCCCTCCAACGGCTTTGCCGACCCCGCTGGCGATGGCGTAACGGCAGCGGAGGTAGAAGCCTCCGCCGGCGTGTAGATACCGGCCAGCAAGGAGACGGACCGTTGGATCGCGCCTCGACCCAACAACGGTATTCTCGAGGAAGCAAACAGCGTGTCCCCTCTCTCTCCTCCAGCCTCGCCGTTTCCGGGTGTCCCTACGCCGGGGTCTTTGCGTTCCGTCGAGGGGGCTACAATCTTCTTCTCAAACATGGCCTGCGAAGATTGTGTGCAGGGGGGAGAGCGGCGTGCAACCGAAACAATGAGGGGGGAGGCGTGGAGCGGGGGGGTGGGGAGTCGAGAGCAAAAACGAAAGGCATTCTCTCTAGGACACATGTACAGCCTCCTCTACGGACCGTGCTGTTTCCTACCGCACAGCATCGACAGGGCTAGCTAGAGTGGGCAAACAACACCAGCACCACGTCGGCGTGCCGGCAACCAACCGCCACACCTTCATGTGTTCCACTCCCGACCCGGGCCTCGTCTCCGCCGAAGGGTGTCCCAGGTGGACGCGAGCCCTCTCCCGGGAGTCTCTGCTCCTGCTGCCAAGTCGCCTGCGGCCCTCCTGCTGCAGCTCCCTCGAACTGTTCGATCGCCGCTCCCACATCTGCCGGGCGAGCCTGACGCCCTCGACGACGCCCGCTTGGGCGGAGTCCGCTTGGTTACCCCCGTCCGACGGCCGCTTGGCTCCGGCGACTCGCGGCGGCATCCCGACCGGCTCGGGCGGCGGGCGGCCGGCGGTAGCGGGGTGCGCGGGAGAGCGCACGACCGCCTCGTCGTGACTCGTCGCCGGCACGGCTGACGCTGCGTCGTCGGAAAGGGGGCGAGCCGATGGTCCCGTGGTGGCTTGGGCTGCAGGTGCTGCTGCAGCGGCCGCCGCTGGGGGGGTCGCAGGCACTGCTGTTACTTTCACCGCGGAGCGGGGAGGGCCTTGGTTGATGTTCCCTGAGACGGTGCCGTTTGATAGCCCTATCTGTGCCGGGGCTGCCGAATTCCACGAGGGAGATCGAGCACCCTCCCGTTGCTGTTGCTGCTGCGGTTGCTGTTGCTGTTGCTGCTGCCGTTGCTGCTGCTGCTGCTGCTGCTGGCATTCCGGCGGAGATGCAGCCCGAGGAGGGACCTGATGTGCCGCAACCACGCCAGAGCCGACCCCTTGTACTTCTTCAGCTAACAGCGACGTAGGCGGCGGCGGCGACGGCACGCGCGCAGACACGGACGACGAGCCGGATGACAAGAAGGAAGGGGACGAGGCCGTGCGATTCCAAGGTCTCCGCCGTCGATGTTCACCACCACGATCAACCCGTATCGGAGGAGATCTCGTGCCTCCACCGCCGCTGCGCCCACCGTGTCCTACCCCATGAGGCGCCTTGTCATTGGTCGAGCACAATGGCAGCGGGGAAGAGCTGGGCCAGCGCGAAGATGACATCTTCGCGTTGGCGCTCGAGTCGCCGCATCTAGAAGGCAAGGCACCCTGATCGAGCTGGACGTTGTAGCGCGGACGGTGAAGGTTAGGAAGGGAGCAACGCGACCAAGAAGGGGAGTTACATACAGAGACGTTTGGGGGGGTGGGGGAGGCACTCCGTCATGTTTTGAGACCCACGAACCTGGTCAAGCAACCTCCGGCACGAATCCAACACCATTTGTTCTCCTCTGCACGGCTGCCCATGTGGGCCCCACCTAGGAATCCGCTACGCGCGACAAGATGCTCACAATCCAGAGAAAGACAATCACGACTGCAGTAGCTCTAGCATGGCAGTGTATTGCAGCACCACTACAACCCTACAATCGCAAAAAAACGAGCCCTCCGGCAAGCAACCCTTGTCCTACCGGCGAGTGGGAGTAGAGCGGGTTCAGGTGGTCATCCTGGCGCATCACCAAAGCTTCGTCGCACTCCATGAGGAACCGCACAAGGCCCGAAAGCAGACGCGGCTCCGTGCCGCAAAGCATCGCCTTCATTGCTGTCGCGTCTGGCAGCGCGCACACAAGGTACACACGGCGGTCGCGAGAGGAACGACCAGAAGGTAAGCATGCGACACTTTGCCCTGCATGACAAGGAGGGAGAGGCCCGGAGAGATGGGATGGGCGGCGAAAACCGGCCTCTTTCTACTTCTACCCATCGGCCAACGGACCCCACAAATCAAGGCCAGGAGACACAGAAAAACGGAGGACGTGTCACCAGCTGCTGTTCTCACCCAGTCCCGCAGGAAAGACCGCCAAGGAGTCCTGCGTCGGGAGCTCTCTAAGCTGCAGCAACTTTCTCCACAGGTTCGCCTCGCGCAGGCTAAACTTCGGCTCCTCGGCCTCCCTGCTTCCGACCACCTTGCTTTGGTCAGACCCACGCTCATCGCCACCGACGAGCTTCTCACTGCTGCCCCCGCCTTTAAGGGGCCACCCTTTCACTGCCCTCTCTCCAGCCGGTTGATCGCTGCGGGGTCTGCCGAAGCCGCCGCCGCCGCCGCCGACTAGATTGCCCTTCGGGCGGGGTACGAAGCAGAGCTCGCAAAACTGCGCTTGGGGTCGATTGCTAAGGTGGCGCCGCCACATCGCACCGCGCGTTAAGAAAGGCACAGGCAAGGGGAAGTGCAACGTGAAGAACAAGCGCGAGAAAAAAACAGCAATAATGCACGCGTGCTTTTTGGGTGATTCCACGCACGTGCGGATACGTGGGTTGCATGACATCATCATCCACGGGTTGAGATGCTGCGACCGTCCCTTCGTACCATACGTAGTCTACTTCAGGAAACAACAAACAGCAGATGCCGAAAGGTGCACAGCAAGCAAGCGGCAGGAGCTGACAGCAAGGGCCGCGTGGTAGTGACACACACACAAGCGGCAGCACGATATGAACAATAAAAAAAAAGCGAAATTTCTCAATTCTAGTCGAACAGCGGTTATCACCACGATGAACGCCTTTCATACATTAAAAAAAAACGCACCTCTGGTTGCAGCCGCAGATCCAGCGCTCGGAGGACTTAAGTCTCTCAAGGACGTACCCCGCCAGGCGCCCAAGGTGGCCCACATCCAAAGAATCCAAGCTGTAGTACAGCCAGCAGACGCCAAGCGCGTAAGCATCGGTAAGATTGAAACCATGTGCAGTGAACGGTGAGACAGGATGGTTGCGGAATGCACCGCGCCGACTGCCTCAAGAGCTACGTATGCTGCTTGACTCGGTTGGCTGCTGTGCGCTGGGCCACATGCCAAGCATTTACCGGGAGGGGCAGCGTGAGACCGCCGAGGCATGGAAATGGCACATATCACCAACGGCAGGCAAAAAACACCAAATCAGTTTGACCACGCGACACATGTTTTCTACTCGTAGCCGTGATGCAGTCTTGTGGGTGCAGCAGGCCACCTGTCGCAGGGCACCCAAGCCAAAGCGTACGCACGACTTCATGTCGACGTGCGGGTGTGTTAACAGTGGCAGGAGGGGAGCAGCAGCACATACTACACGCCCGGAAGGGGGTCGAGAATCTTTCATGAAGGGTGGCAGACTACAGCAGCGCTCGCCTGGAAAACTCTCCCGAAGGGTGGCTGCCGCCAGGAGAACGCGAAGACCACGGGGAACTGCTGCCAGCCCCACCGGTATCATCCCTCGTGGCACCGGCGGCACGGCTGACGTTTGCACCAATAGGAGCGGCAGGAGTAGCAGGCGCAGGAGTAGCCGTGGGGGCAGGGCTACGTCCGAAGACGGTGTTCACCCACTGCAGAATATCCCAAGCCGACCCATGGTCGCTTCCCAGGAGCAAAGACGCGGGATCTCCCGATCCTGGAGGTTCTTTTTCTAGCGCACTCCGCGGCCTTGGTCTGGATGACTTGGGTCGGTGGTACTCGGGCACGAACCTAGATCGGCGTGCGGCCTCCACGGGAGAAGGAGGAGGGTCGGTCTTCCCTCCAGCTTCCTCCATCACTACCCGCTTGACCTTTGCAACAGACCTTTTGCGAGATAACAGCAGACGCGAATAGGTGGGGAGCGAGAAGGGACCGCCGGTATGAAATGAGTACTTTCGCGGTCGTGTGAGTCTGGAAAGGGGCATTCGACGCTACACGCCCTGGGACGAGGTATGGGGGGAGATTCCGTGAATCATGCACGTCAGCGGAAACGTGGAACCGTGTCATGTTGATTGCCCGCCCCCCAGTCCCCCCCCGATGTTTGCCATCGGGGTTGGGTTTTCGTCGCTTGGCAACGACGTTGTAAAACATGCCGCCCCCCCCCGGTGTGTGCCATCGGGGTTAGGTTTTCGTCGCTTGGCAGCGATGTTGTAAAACAAGCCGATTACTTCGTGAGCCCGGCAACCAGCTCACCGCTTTTTTTTGTACCTCTATTTTTTTTTTGGGTGGTAACCACAATGGTGGTCGAGTTGATTATGCTGTGCGGGGTCGAGAACCTTCACTCCGCGCAAAGGGGGATAATCGCACCACGTTGTGTTAAATTGGCCAAGCACCCTCGAGGCAGTTACACAGTGCTTATAACTGTCTCTGGAAGTGAAAGCACCAGAAAATAAATCAAGTCATACGCAGCTGTCATCCGTACGCAAGCAAGTAAGCACAAGATGCTGAACACCCTTAGCAGGATGCAGCACCCTTCATGCGACTCGCCGAATACCTCACGACGCTTCGCGCTTGGTGATGTGAGAGCCTGGTCCGGTGAGAACCCGGCGTGCTCCGTCCCGGCTTTGTAGGGATACGAGGTCAATGGTCTAACGACTACGGCATGCACAACTATGAGTCCCCCCCCCTCCCCCCCCCAGGGGCTGGAGCCAGTAGGGAATGGCACCGAAAATACGCCACTCTGCGTGACGAAGACAGCCAGGGAACGCAACCTGCTACTCTTTGCGGTGTCGATATGTACATTCAACAGCAGTATTGTAGGGGGGTCCCGACATATAGCGATGTAGCGACAGACAAAAAACACCGCGTTACATCGGGGGCCGCGCGACTGGGGGAAGGTCCCTGAATCGGAATATAGTACAGGCTAGGTTGCTGTGCCAAGGAATTTTGCCGCGATACTGCATATCGGGACCACCACTACTGTACCAATAGCGCTGGTAAAATACCTCAACCCCGCACAAGGAGCATCGTATCACGCGGCACATTTGGTCGGACATGCGCGAGATATTTGCACAGCCTTCTTATCGCGATCTCCGAGGGCTGCAACAGCCAATGCACGCTGCTTTTCATGTGCAAGAAAGCACCGCGCAAGGTGCCGAACTCCGCCGTATACATCGGGTTGCTCCGGAGATTTGTATTTAGCCTCTACCCATCCAGCAACTCACCGAACACCTTACAGCTTCGCGTTTGGTGTCAAGGACGTATGGCAGGCAAGAGACGAGAGGTGTACTTATAATCGGAATGCTCTACATGCGCCATTTGGTAATCTCCAACCCGTTCACGCCCAATCGACTCGCTCTCAACAAGCCTCTACTCGCACGCCAGCTGCAATCTACAGACACCAGACAGGCGGGCCTCGCTCTGATTTAGTACAGCGCGGGGGCGCCAGCTGTGTGTCTGCGCGTTTTTGTATACTGTACCGTCTCGACGACGAAATCCGGCTCAGGATGGAAGGCCGGCAGGCTAGGCTATGTCTGTGACATCGGGTGGTTCTTTGCAACATACACGTGCGAGATCTGTACACTGCTGTAACCGCACGCACACAACTTGCTGCTCATTGTGTTGCCAAGAGTCGGGGGACATATATTGCTGGAGCCTTGCTTGCATACATCGCGTGCTACACGCGTTCCGCTTGGCAACAAGATAACCAAAGCGGCCTGAAGGTTGGCGGCTTCAAGATGGTTGGCGGCTTCAAGATGAAAAGACGACGTGCAATTAGTATCGTCGAGGGCACCGGGCACCGGGGCAAGGGCTCGTCATGTCGTTGCCGCGCTAGTCTGGAGTCGAGCTTACTGATGAACACCCGAGATACAAGTCCGGCCTGAGGATGAGCTTACCTTCACATTCGGCTGAGAGTCAAAGCGTAAGCAGCGTTATTCATTCCTCATACATACGAGCCGACCTTCTCGACAGCGCAATTTACTGGTACCAGTGAGCTACCTTTCCGAAGACGAGTGCCGGTGGTACACTACCCCGCGCTCCTATTTCCAGCGAAAAAAGGTGGTCACTTCGAGAATCTAGGAGACCTGCTGTGGCCAGCTACCAACCTAGACGGTGACGTTGCTGCCAAGACCAAAGCAAGGCCTAACCTCTCTCCTCCCGCTCTTTCCAGCTGAACATGTCGATGGTGCACAGCACAGTAACCAGCACAGCGCACAGCACACACAGCACACCACACCAGCACACCTCATTGGAGCTGCGAGCGGCTCCGTGGATCATCTCGCATGCGTGGACAAAAAAATCTTGTTCCACAGTGTAGCCCCCACTTTCGCCCAATCGACGAATCAGGAATCAAAGACTACACACATATTAGGTAGAGTCTTTGGCCCGATCCGTGTGTCAAATGCTGGCCAGATCCATATCGACTACCAAGTATTTCCCGGCGTCCGCTTTTCTTCACCTTTTTTTATTCCGTTTTTTTTCATGCTGTCCTTCTTCTTTCTCTTCATCCTTGCGGGGTATGTATGTATGTATCCGCGGCAGGGCGACGTTCTGTAAATTACGTATGTATGTATGTATGTATGTATGTATGTATGTATCACGGGATCTCGGCCTTGGCCTACGCTCTCGATTTCTTTTCACGATTGACGTGCTGTTGCAACCCGTCTCACGATCAAAGAATACGCCGCGTCCGAACCCCCGTCCGAAATGCAAAAGATACTGCTGCTGTGATATCAAGCATACATCAACTGCTGCTCGAGACTAAAACAACTACGGAATGTATTAAATTATTATTGGCTCCGTCGCTCTCATGCGGACACTTTCGTTTATAATTATTGCATGGCGCTGAAGGCGCACGTTGTGGCGTTGTCTTTCGTTTCCCAACACTGTTTTTTTGCGCTGTTCATTGTATGCCGCGTATCGTATGGTCCATATTGAAACCGCGTGATTGGAGAATTTCATCTTCCTCGCATCATCTCCAGATAGATACACATCGACTCCGTGCAGACATCCCCGGTCCTGCGACGGGAGTCTGGCACCCATCAGTCTGGCCGCCCGCCCCATTGGGGGGCGGGGGGGCAATCGTTCCCCCTAGTTTATATATGTGTAGGAGCGTATGATATAGGATGGAGGAGGTATCGAAACAACTAACAATCTTTCTACGACGCAAGTGTGGGTGCGAGTTGCATTTTGATCAGTTCATTTTGCCCTTCGAGCAGGCACTCTCAGCCTACGAGTGTCTCACGTCCGCAAAGAGGTCGGCAATATATTGGCGCTCGTCGTGTGATGCCACAATGAAATTGTGTGTGTTGCTACCCCTGTACGGGAATGGACTACTTGGAGGGTCATTGAACCGGTACCCCAGCACCCTATGTACATATATAAACATGGAACATAGGGAAATAGGGAACGATGAACAAGTCTGTGCTACAATAATAGTTGTTGATGGCTGGTGCAGACTGCAGGCTCCCAAAGAAAGCTGATTCCGGCACTCACTCGTAGCTGTGCTGCGGGAGCGGAGGGCATGCATTCTGGCATCGTTCTAAAGATTGTAGGTCAAGGGCGCAAACAGAGGAAGGAAAACACTTGACGATTTGCATGGTGACGGGGACTCGCCACAATATACGAGTCATGCAACAAAAAAATTGAACAGCAGTTGGCTAGCGCCCGCCTTTTTTCGTAATAACCTACATGTAGAGGAGTGAGTTGAAAATAAAGCCTGTTTAACGAAAAGGTTTCACATGAAGAAAATGTTTGACATGAAGAAGAGCACGTGCTCAGTCAAAAAATCCTACCAGCTTAATCATTAAAGCTGTACAGAGCTGGTGTTTTCACCGATCGATTTGGTGCGCGATGACTTCAACTTTTCACGTGGAGCCCGTCGGTGTTCTGAAAGCCTGATTTCGAGCTGCGCGGACACCTATCCTGGGAGTGCCTGGGGCGAAGGTTTTGGAGCTCTGCCGTGTCTGCCTGCCCGCTTCTTCTCTCCTCGACGAGGTGCCGATGAAAAACACAACGGACTCTCTTCTCCGGGTTCGGATCTGGCGCGGCTGATCGTGTTGTCGACGTGATACTATGGCGACGATCATCGGAAATCGTCACCCTCGAGCTTGTATCGACCAAAATGTATCATCCAGCGATTGCTTGCAGCAGTTGTTTCGGCAACAACGCGCATTTCGGAAATTATCTGTTTGCTGTAAGAGCACCGGTCCGAGTCAGAGGCCTCATACATCTTCGTTGGAGCACGGCAACGAATTCAAGGGCCGGAAACCAAAGAAACGTTTTCAAACAACTCAAGGCGGAGCTCTTGGCAAATGCGCGGAAAAGGTCGACAAATAATGGACACGTTACAATTTTTCGAAGAGAGAAAACGGAGTTTGTTGTTCCTCGTGACAGTATTTACTGAGGGATCTTGGTCCACGCGTCGAGTGAACTGGCGCAAAATCACTGGACCTCCACCGTTTCCTATCTATGCCGATCAGCCATGCAACGACAACCACACCAAACATGTCACACCCTCAACACCCACGACGTGATATTCAAAAACCAGATCGCTACCGTTGGCTGGTGGCATTGCTCACAACATGCTGCAACTAAATGGGGGGATGAAACTAAATGGGGGGATGATACCCAGGAGAAATGTAGCTCAGGGCTAAGCCAATCAAGGCTTGTCTTTTCGAGACGCACGCGCAGTGGATATACCAGCCAGTCAGTCACGCGTCATACTCCTACACAGCCAACCTGCACGTCCACTGCAGCCGTTCATCGATCAGACTCAGACCACCCCCAACGCCAACACCAAACCTTTGCGGATACTCGGGTTGTACACGTTGCGCCGGCTTCACAGGAAACTACC